CCAGTCTTACAACAACCATTGCAACTTGTGTTTGTGACACTATGTACGTGTGTGTGTGGCTGTGTGTGCACATGTGTATATATATGTGTGTGTGTTTTGTTTGTATATGTATCTGTGGCTGCATGTTTGTGCTTGCATATGTATATGTATATGTACATGTGTGTCTGTGTATACGTATTTCTGTACATAAATGTCTATGCTTGATTGTGGTTCTATGTGTGTGTGTGCAGGGGTGTATATATGATTACTGTGCTTGTGTGTGTCTGTATGTGGTATGGCATGCCTCTGGCTATGTGCATATCTTTGTATGGCATGTACTTGTGTCTGTGTGTGCACGTTTGAGTATGTGTGGAGCAACCCCCCACTTGGCATAGGCTGTCTTTCTATTCCTGCAGCTTCTGAGTATGCTTTCTAACTTACTACATAAAGTCCTTTTGATGACTGGGCTCCTTGAAGTGGACAGTGAGAGGTCTGTTCTCTGTCCCCGCTCCCTGCCCCAGGCTCTGGGTCTCAACTCAGAGGGATAAATGGCTCACTGGCTGCCAAGGTGGTCCTGGGCCTCACAGGTAAGTACAGCCATGCTAAGGACAGCAAACATCACTGCAGGACATCTACTCAGTCTCCAAGACAAGAGACTGCCCATGGCCAGACATGAGGAGGCACACAGAGATGCCTGGAAAGGCACCCCATACACCTCCCCAAAGAGAAAAAGGATGCCTGTACCCATAGGTCTGCAGCTCCATCACAAACAGAACAGGAAGGGAGCCAGATGCAAGCAGGACCATCCCCTGCCAGGTGGTTCCCAAGGGGCTGCCCTCCTCAATCCCAGTCTGTGAGCCCCAAGTTCCAGTATGCCCCTAGCAGCAACCTCACGGTGCTGGCCAACGCCTGTCTCATCCAACAGCGCTGGTCAAAGTAGTAAAGAAAAGTGCAGCCACCCAGAGCCCAGCTGTCTACAGTCCACTGAGGGGGAAGGAAATCAAGGGGGATCAGAGGGAAGAGATTGGTTGTGGACAGGAAGATAAAGGACAGGTGGCTGGGCTCATCCGAGTACCCTAAAGTGGGGAGAGGCTTCTTTTTCCTCCAGGGTGGGAGGTGTTCCCCACGAGAACCTGAGGAAGCAGGAAAGCTGTGGCAGCTAGGATGAGATGGGCCTGTGTCGGGCTATGGGCCAACACAGCTGCTCTCTGGAGTCTAGGGACTGTGGCCCTGTCTGGAGCCCCTCCCCTAAACTCCAGTCCATTCCAGTTGGGGAGTACCATTGGCAGAGGCCGACTCTCTGATCTCTGGCTTTATCTTCACGACACATTGAAACCATCAAGGCCAGGCCCAACTGCAGAGGTCTCGTTGTCAGGTAGTTTCAGAAGACTGTGCTTTCATTCAAACTCAGGGAAGAGGGGCAGGCCCTCACTCATGCTCCAGAGGCAGGACTTGTGAGCTATTGTCCTTTTTATCTATCTTTCTTTAAAGTTCTAGAAGCTACTTCCTGCCTGGGCCCTTGCTCTACATTTGCCCTTCAAGGGGGACTTTGGTTGATGATGCTGAATACTGAGTTTGCCGCCCCCCACCCCCCAATCAAGCCGCTCCATCAAAGCAGCAAGCACCCTTCAGTGTCTTGGGTTCAGGGGAAGCAGAATCAAAGGCAAAGCCTGAATTTCTCGTGCTCACGGCCAATAAAAACCTTGCTTCGGTGCTGGCTTCCTTTGCTGAAATCAGATATATTAGTAATAAACAAGTCCGAAAGGCAGGGGAGAGCGCTCACTTCTTTCTGCTGATTAGTTTTTCTTCCTTTTCAAAAAAAAGGTCTCTCCTATAACAGGATGCCTGCCCTAGAAACTTGAGCACAGAAGGTGGCCCTAGCTGCCTTGCCCTGTACCACCTCCCCCTCCAGAACCTTCCTCTGGGCTCCTGTGGGTGGAGTGGGCCCTGCTTCCCCAATACTAGCCTGTTTAGTTGACTCAAAGGCAGGTCAAAGGGACTTGGGGGGACAGAGGCCTTGGCTGCCTGGGGAGCGGCCGCAGCTTCCAGGGAGAGCTGAGTTCTTGGCCTTTGGCGGCTGGCACACACTGGAAAAGAAAAGTGGAGTTGTCACGGGTGGGGGCCCGTTTCTTCAAAACCATCTTTCCGAATTCCTTTCCATGTACCATGTGGCTGAAAAAGCCCAGCTCTATTGTACTTATTTTTCCAGTGCTGGGGATGGAACTTGGAGCCCTGCACATGCTGTACCACTGAGCTACAGCCCTAGTCCTTGTGGGAATTTGATGTTGAGTCTAGGCCCAGAAAAGCCACACAAGGCAGAAAGCACTGGGGGCTGGTTTCCTGGGGCAGCTCTGTCTATCAATGGTGCCTGGGTCCCTCTTGCTGCCCTGCCCAGTCTCAGGGCAGATGTAGATCCACATGTGGCCAGCCGTGGAATACCCTCGCCTCATGTGCCAACATCTCCTCTCCTATCCTCCTCCAAATAGGTTTTTAGTGACTTTGCTGTCACAGATGCTCCTCTGTTTTTCCCTCTGACACTATCTCTCCAGAGAGTTTCTGGTCAAGAGAATTATGTCGAGGCTGCAGATTGCAAGAGAATTTCGCCTAATGGGGAACAGACGGACCAGACACCTTTCATGTCCAGCCAAGTTTCTCTTCCCTCCTCTTTCTCTCTCTCCCACTTCTCATCTTTCCTTTTTGGCTTCAAAGTTGGCCCTGGTTTGCACTTGTTTCTTGGGTTCATCTGCTGAATAAGGTCACACGTTAATTTTATTTTGGAGATTGGCTGCCTGGTCAAGCTGAACTCTGATGCTGCGGAACAAGGCTATTGGAGGGTGATGGAAGCAAACCTAGCGTGCAGCTGGCACAGGGTATCCTAATTCACGATTGTGACACAAGTCGGTTGAGAAGCATTTTGGCACCCAAAGTGTGACATCTGTCCCTTAGGCATCTGAGTGCAAGCTTGTAAAATCTAAACACAAGAAAGATACCAAGAGTTTGCTGTCCCCATCACACGCTACTTCAGCTAACCTGAGCAATACTTTATAGAAAAAAGTGCTAGTCGAGGTCCCTTGGGACTCTTAAATCATTAGAGAAGAACTTAAATTTAAGGACCTTGTAAATGCCTATTTAAGGCTTGGCTTGGTGGGTAGAAGCACTTGCTGTGCAGATATGACCTGAGTTCGATCCCTGGATCCCAAGATGGAGGGAGCAAACAGGCTCTGGGAAGTTGTCCTCTGCAATGCCCTGCCCCCAAGCCCACACACACTTGTGTTCAAACACATACATCATACACACACACACACACACACGATTATAAATAAATGCCTGTTCAATCACAGAACCATGGCATACACAAGTGGATACAAACTGGGTGGAGTAGAGCGCCCTCTTCTGGAGGTGGAGGCATGGTTCAGTGGCAGTGTGCTTCATAGTGAGCGCTAAGCTTCCAGGTCAGACCCCAGCACAGCAAAAAACCCTCTTCTTTGTGCTCCTTGAGAGAAGGCAGTCAGAAAAACTTTGGAGGACGGTGGTGGTTTGGATTCTTTTATCCTTAGTCATAAGGCTGATGTAAGAGCATTCAACTGATTTCATGGTAAAGACAGTCACAGTTCCCAGAGCAAACCATTTCCAATTGCACCCTGCCAACATTCCACCCTGCAGCAGCCTTTCAGAAATTACCCTTCCTCCCGGAAAGCTTTGGTAGGAAGCACAGGGTTGCTTGCTTTCTAAAGGACAAAGTAAATGTCCTGAATGTCCTGTTGGGCCTCATTGCTTCTATGTCTAGCCTTGGGCAACAGAATTTATCTTCCAGCCCAGAGGTGGGTGTGGGGGCAGTTGTGCTCCCTGAGCCCCGTGGCCTGTGTGACAGTTTAGAGTCTGGAGGAGGAATGTGCGTGCTAGAGAAACAGGATGATGGAAGGGAGGCTAATCCACTCATGGCTGGATTCAATTCTCTCCTTCCTTCTCACCCCCACTGCTTGTGGTTTCAAAGTTTGCTCTGTGTTAAGATGCATCAATTCTAAACTAGTACAATAGACTGGAAAACACATTTCTTTTATGGCAATATGGTTTTCTGAAGTTAAAACTGCAAATCTAAGACTATGCTACTTATTAGCGATTCAAGTCAGCAACAGGGGCTGGGGTGTGGTTCGGTGGTAGAGTGCCTGCAGAGGTACCTAGCGTTCCATTCTCAGCACTGAAAAAGCCAGAGATCGTCCTGTCAATCTTGACTTTAAGCCTTGCCACCGGTGGTAGAGTGCCTGCAGAGGTACCTAGCGTTCCATTCTCAGCACTGAAAAAGCCAGAGATCGTCCTGTCAATCTTGACTTTAAGCCTTGCCACCGGTGGTAGAGTGCCTGCAGAGGTACCTAGTGTTCCATTCTCAGCACTCAAAAAGCCAGAGATAGTCCTGTCAATCTTGACTTTAAGCCTTGCCACCGGTGGTAGAGTGCCTGCAGAGGTACCTAGTGTTCCATTCTCAGCACTCAAAAAGCCAGAGATAGTCCTGTCAATCTTGACTTTAAGCCTTGCCACCAGTTTGCTTTGATCATAGAGGAGGGGTTTGTCCACTCTCAGCCTCAGTGCTGGGTCCACAAAGGGATACTGACAAATAGCCTAAAATACCTGTCCAGCTGTCATGAGAACAGAGCTCAGGAGACAGCTCAGTTGATAAAGCACACACTATGCAAGCTTGAAGACCTTTGTTCAAATCCCCAGAACCCCTGTAAAGCTGGGCCTAGTAGCATGTCTGTAGTCCCAGCACACGTACAGCAAGGTGGGAGGTGGACATGAGGATCTGTGGAAGCCTGGGGGGCCAGCAGAACACAGAGCTCTGAGCAACAGTGATCCTATCTCAACAAGGTGTTAAGGAGTGGACTGGACACTGGAGGCCATCCTCTGACCTTCACACATATGCACTGGCAAGTGCACATTCCCACTCACACACAGGAACATACTTGCAGACACACACACACACACACACACACACACAGATTAAAGAGAGACTACAGGAAGAGGGCTTACAGGCTATGAATGTTTAAAAAAAAGGGTCGGGGTACAATGTTATGAAGCGGTTGCTTTAAGAACGTAGTATGAAAAAACGACGAGGGGAAGGGGGCCAGTTGGGAAGAGCGGATGAGCAGGAGCAGAGGACAAGAGGGTCATGGAGGGGAATACGATCAAAATACATGCTATATACGTGCTGGGCTGTCACAAGCAAGCACATTACTACATAAGTAATACATGCTAATAAAAACTTTAAGAAAAACATAGTAAGGCCAAGCAGCACTCCTTATATGCACCAGGACCTGGGTTCTATTGCCAGTGTCATGGATGTGTATCTATGTGCAAGAATCTATAAGGGACTTCCCAAGAGACCAAATCCTTTGGCCTGGAGGGCCCTCAGCCTCTCAAACCTGACACTGGCTTCAGGACACATGGGAACCCAGGGCACGGACAGGAGGCAGGGAGATGCTACTGCGTGGCTGGGTCTGAGTCTGGGAAGCATGCTGTTTTCACTCAGGAAACTTGCCCTGATGCTGTCATAAAAACCTGGGAGTAACCCAACCAGCTGCCTCACAAAAAACCTGTCTCTGAGCCTGGCCTAAATTTTCCTGATGAGAGCGCCCCCTGATGCTGGATGCGCACTCTGGCTTCCTTCTGGACTTCAGCCTCTCCTGGCTTGTCTCCTCTGTTCTTCATGCCCAGGCACAAGCCGGGAGATCTGTTATGGCTTCACCATTTCACTTTTCCCAAGGGATTCAGAACCACCCTCAGACCCCTCATCTGAGCAGCATGGTAGTGAGGCTGCTGAAAGAACCCGTGCGTCTACAAGTCCATGTGCACTTAGGAGAATCATTCTGTGTCCATTCATCCCCATTAGGAGAGACTAAACCAGGAGTGGACCACAGCAAGTGCCCACAGTGGAGCCCACTGTGCGCTTCAGTTGGCCAATGTTGCCACCTAGAGGCCATCAAAAGAGCTCCGTGCAGCAGGTGGTAGCCTCCTTTTAACCCCTAACATGCCAACACTTCCATTCTTTCTTTTTTTGACAGGGTCTGCTATAAAATCTCACTGGTCAGAAACTGGCTACGTAGCCTGGCTGGCCTCAAACCAGCCATCCTCATGTGTTGGGACTATAGGTGTGATACCACACCCTACCAAGACATGTTCTTGCCCTTGAAGTTCAGAACCTTTCTGCATACATGGTGTGGCTTTGATCTGTGACCCAAGGAACGGCCTCCCCAAAGCCAGGATGGCATGATGCCAAATAAGCAACAGGCTGCTCCTGCCAGGTCCAAGGCCCCTCCTGTTATAGTCACTCACTGCACGAGGTCATAAAAATAAATTTTAATTGCTTTGTAGTTGGCACAGATGGTATCATTCAAACTCACATTTTTATTGAAGAGATTCTCAAACACCAGCTTTGACTGAAAGTACAAGAATCGTGGGTGTCTTGTAAAATTACATTCAGTAGTAGCAGCGTGTTCTGAGAAGCTTTGTCATAAAATTGAAGACCAGGCTTGAGTAAGCAAGAGAAAAACCTGTCCGAAAATAATAGCTCATACCGAAACTACCTGTCACTATTATTATCTGTTGATTATGGGAGAATCACTTTCTGGTTTAATTTTTTTTAAAGATAGGGTCTCATTTAGCCCTAACCTAGCCTTGTACTCACTATGTGGCTAAGGATGGCCTTGAACCACTGGTCCTCCTGCTTGCACTTACCAAGTGCCAGAATCACAGGTGTGTGCTATGCCCAGATGCTTTCTGGTTTTTGAAGATCTTGCTACATTATGAACAGAGTTGTAAAATTCAGGCTTATATGTATAGTGGGGAGGTGACTGATGCTCCTGGAAAAAGCTTCTCAGGAAAAGCAAAGCAAGGCCTTGTTGATACCATGTGCCTGAACTGGCTTTGAAGCCTTTCATCCCTAAGCACTGGGCTTTGCTAAAAATAAAAACAAAAACCACCAGAAAAGGATCATGGTAGAGAAGAAATGCCATTCACTTCCCATCACTACAATCCTAGAGGAAAAAGCTCAGTCCTCCTCCTCAGCAAGATGTCAGGAGGCCCAAGCGTCAAAAGAGTGACTCTGGAATTTCAGGGTCAGGATCACAGTGAAGCTGTGTCTAGAGGCACGGCCTGAAGTGGACTCCAGTCCCAGAGCAAAGACGACCTTCCACACCTGCTGGTTAGGGAGGAAACAGAGCGGTAACGTGACGTCCATGGGACTTGTAGGAAGCAGCTGCAGGGAAACCTACTAGTGGGATGGCAAATGGGAGGCCCTCACGAGATGCCTCCATTATAGGCAGCAGCCCAGAAGACACTCTGGGCAATGCTCTCATGGGTTGGTGGGTGCTCTCAGGAAGAGGTCAGTTGATCTTAATTCTCTGCTGCTGATTTGGTATCTGTCCTGAAATCTCTGGACTCCTTAAATGCAATCCCAAGCCACCGCTTGAAGTGAGCTTCCTAGATCCGAGGCTAAGCACAGGGGCTTCCACCAACATAGGCACACCTCAGCGCTCTACACAATCACAGAACAGTGTGATTGGGTTCGAACCTGCGAACATCAAAATGAAAACCTAGGTTGGTGCATAGTTGTCCTCTTGGCTGCCCGGCTCACTGTTCTTGGGCCACCGGTGCCGAGGCCTTCAGGTCTGTTGTGGTCTTGTCTAGGGCAGGTTTCTTTGAGTAATCCCGCTCTCCAAAGATGGTGCTTCCTATCCTGACATTTGTAGATCCTACTTCAATCTGTGGGAAAAAAAAAAAAAAAAGCACTGAGAAGCAGTTTATTTTTTAACAGAGCAAAAGGTGGGGGTTTATTTACAGAGGAGCGGGTGTCCCCCATTTATGACTGCACTGGAAAGTCCACACTCAAATATAGACACTGTGACTTCCTGACAGCCACAGAAAATTGCGAGAGAGATGCTTCCTGGTGTTCTCTCGGCTTATATATCCTCAGCCCCTCCCCCACATGTAGCAAAGGTTGACTGACTGGGTGGGAGGGGTAACTGACTCCCTCCTTGACTCCTTGATGAGCATGGGAAGGTTTGACCAGAGCTTGCCGGCCTAGTGGTCGGAGTACACTTCCAGTTAACATTCCGCCCTTACTCTTAGGTTCTTTGGGCCAACCTCTTCTGCAAAAGTCCCTGAGCCTTGGAGAGGGTGGTAGGTGTGGGGTGATCTTTGAGGAGGGGATTTAAAACAGGAGTTTGTAGCTTGTGCTGATGCCCTGTCCAGTTGGTTCCTGAGGAGCAGCTGAGGTGTAGCTGAAGGCGGGACAGGTGGTCTTGAGGCAGGAGCACTGAGGAAGGTAAATCGGGTCGGCACACGCCTTTAATCCCTACACTGTGGAGGCAGAGGCAGCTTGTGAGTTCAAAGCCACCCTGGCAAGTTCTAGGCCAGTCAGAGCTAAAAAGTGAGACCCTATCACAAAAAAACCACAAAACAAAATGTTCCCAAAACCAAAAGAAGTAACGATTTCCTTGGTTTTACTGGAGTTCAATGGGATTTAGCTGCATGGGACCAGTGATGGGGGAAATAAAAGTGTGTGGGACAGAGCCAAGAGCCCACGTGCCTGTCCGATGGACCACTGTCAGGCAAACTGGAAAAAATCCCCTGTAGTTACCTGGGCAGAGAACCCAATCTTACTTTACTTATAAAGAACTTTTACAGTTTTAATATATATGATATTCCAGAAATGCAATTTTATACTTTGATTCTTGCCAGTAGACCAGGCTGGCCTCAGTCTCACAGAGATACACTTGCATCTGTCTCCCAACTACTGGGATCAAAGGCATGTGCACCACCACACATGGCTTTAGGGTCTCACTATGTAGCCCTGACTGGCTTAGAACTTGCTATGTAGACCAGGCTGGCTTCAAACTCATAGTAAACCTCCTGCCTCTGCCTTTTGAGGGCTGGGATTACAGCGATACGCCACCACACCTGGCTGTTACTATTGGAAAAACTCAGGTATGTGAGTTGCTAACCATAGTACTTGGTATCAACTTATATTTACTGTCATGTAGCCCTTGCACTTACAAAATGAAATGCCTTTAAAAAAATCTTAGTTTACAGCCAGGTATGGTGGCACATGCCTTTAGTCCCAGCACTTGGGAGGCAGAGGCAGGCAGATCTCTGTGAGTTCAAGGCCAGCCTGGTCTAAACAGTGAGTTCCAGGCCAGCTGGGGCTACAGGGAGACCCTGTCTCAAAAAGACAAAAAAAAAAAAAGCAGAAAAATCTTAGTTTACACATTCTTTTTTGGAAGGAAGATGCTGGGAGACCAAACCCGAGATCTAACACATACTAAACCCTAAGCTACACCCTCAGCCTGTAACTTAATTTGCCTTTAGATTACATATAGGGAATTACATTTGAGTTTTAATTATCAGACTGTAATCTCTATAAATTTCACCTTTAAAAGGAGCAAAGGGGGGGGAGGAGAAATGTCAACAACTGTGAAGCATGGTGACTCTGCTGTTACTAGGATGACATTTCAAAGATTTCCACATTGAAACCCCATTCCTGTTCCAGCCCTTCGCGCCCTACCCTGCAGGCAGAAGTGGGTACCTGGAAGTGCACTTACAGCATGCTGGAAGTCCATGGACATGCCCATGCTCAGCTCAACTTGGTCCACAGCAATGCCGAGCTTTTTACACAGCTCCTCCCGCAGGGACAGTAACACCTGACAGAAACACAAGCGTCAGCAGTTTATTCTTGCCCTCTCCACCGATGCTGAGAACTGGCTGATCTGCTGGGTGTTGTAGGGCACGCCTGCAGTATGGGGAGAACAGGCCGGAGAATCCTGAGTTGGCCAGCCTGGGCTACATAGGGTAATTCTGGCTACCAAACCAAACCAAACCAAACCCATCAAAATGAAAACATAAACATCTTATGATTCTTTATTCTTTATGATTCTGAGGTCTGTAATCTTTGCCACGTTGCTTTTAGCAACATCCCCAACTTCCACGAAAACTTTCAGGGCTCAGGGTTAGAGTGCTCACACAGCATGGGAGACCCTAGGTTCTATCCCCAGCACTTGGGGGGTGGGAGATGGGGAGAGGACACACAAACCATCCTAAAAACAAAACTGAACAAGCCCAACAACAATGAAAATGAAAACTGTCAGTCACTAGAAAGGAAAAGCTCCCTCTGAAAACTGCGTTTCAGCCAAGCTAAAACTGAGCTGAGGGAGGTCGAAGGTGTCTGGACGCATACTCTTCCTTCTTCTATGAGAAGAGTCCAGCAGAGGGTTGTCTGGGATGTCCTTGAAGTTACTGTAATAGGGCACCTTCTTGACCACATCTACGCCATGTTAAACTAGGTTGAAATTATGAGGCAGTTGGCCCAGGGTATGGGAACACGTGTCAGCTGAACGCTGGTTGTCTTGGGAACAGGTCAGCGTGTCCTGGAAAGCACCTGCTAACTGCAGATTCATGGCTTCTGTAGGTTATGCTTGGCTTGCTTTTGCAAAATAGTAATTGTTGCTTAATAGAAACTGTTAAGGGATGCTCCACCTGTAAGCTTGGGAACTTAAGCTTTTCACCCCAGGTTATGGTCTCTTTGCAGAAAAGCCTACCCTAGAGAAGGCTCAGTGCTACACGCTTGGGTTCCAACACCCTTGGGTAGTATCCCTGGCCAGTAAATGACTTTCATCTGACAAAACTTTGTCTGATGGTCTTTCCTGGTGAAGCAGACCACACAGCCAGCCCTACAAGCACGATGCTGCTATACCCCCACGGCGCTGGGCTCAAACTTAGGCACTAGACAGGACAGAGACAGCTCCTACAGCCCCATCATGCTTCTTTGACAGTACCTGGAAGTCTGGGTTTGGTCCTTGACTAAGATCATGTCCAAAGCTTCCAATGGTCATCAGCCCCACGAACTCCAGGCTGGGACAATTGGACTTTATGTACTCTGCCACGGCTATGGTCTCTGAAGGTGGAACACCATATTTACCTTTACAAAACAGGAAGCAAATGGTGACCCTCGGAGGAAGAACGCAGGAAGCAACTTCTAAGGCCTCAGAGAGTAGCTTTGTATGGGAAGCCTTCCCTAGTTGTTACTCTTCTCGTCAGGTTATAGATGCCTCAAGGACAGAACTACAAATTAGATTCTCTGTACTCCAGCTCATGATTTTACTGTACTTTTCTTTAGTGCTGGAGAGTGAACCCCTAGTTCTGCACAGCCTAGGAACTCAGCCACGCCCTACTCTCTGCACCTCAAGGTTTTAGTTGAGAATGACTAAGGGAGACGGAAAGAAAAGTCTTGTATGTTTTGGTGACACCAGGGAGATCCATATGGTCAAAATCCCAGATAAACCTCAAAACTGTTTCTAAATCTAATATTGTTGTGGCCTTATTGATTTATTAATAGAATTGCAAAAATTAGAGTATTTACACAAGTTAAGTACTTTTGGCTTTAACAAAGTTTAACTTACCAGTTAAGAAAGAACGGTTGGAGGAGCCTGCAACAAATGATTATCTGTTCTGCAGTTTAAGGAACTGCTTTGCCCCATTTATCAAATGGAGGTGGCAGAAACTTTCACTTAGTTATTAAGGCAAATCACAGTTAATTGTCTAAAAAGTAATAAAGATAATTGGAAGTTGATTTTAAATCTATAGTCTGCAATGTATCATAGTCAGGGAACACACATAACACAGTAACGGTAAGTTGTTAGAATCTACCGAACACTCGTGCTAGCCCTGAGATTTTTCATTTCCTGCAGTAACTCTGTAAATCCTCTTACTAGTGCCAGTCTTTAAAGAAAACAGGCAGAGGCTAAGCAGCTCTCCAAGACACACAACTAGAGCTGTGGACCTGAGATTTGAACCAGGCAGCCTGACTACAGGACAAATCTGGAAAGCAGGTACCTCTACTGAACTTCTTCATGCTGAGATCTACTACAAGATGGTGCTTAGATCGGTGTAAGCAAGTCTTTCAAACATTCACTCCAACAAAAAGCAAACGAGTGAGATGTCCAGGGTCTGTATTCACAGGCGTGCCGTGGCCCCTGTATTCAATCCTTGCCATACCCTTTTGTAAATAAGGAAACGTGGGTATTGAAAGGTTAGACAACCTACCCCAAGTTCCAAAGCTAGAAAGTGGTGTGGTGAGGCTTAAACACGTTTGTCTGAAGCCAAAGGCCATGCTCCTCTGCAGTTCACCAGCTGGTGCTCAGCAGTTTTTCTTCTATTTTTCTGAGACCTAAGAAGCATTATGTGTGCAACTTTACATCCCTTTCAGGAGCAATGCTGACCTCTGGGGATTTTCAGGACATCAAAGTTATAATCTCCTTTTGATTTCTCCTATTACCCCAAATCAAGACCTAACAAATCATGGTGTATTAAAGAATTAATTGGGTTGGCTTGAGTATCGTTACACTGCTAGATCACAACGAAGCAGCATACTAAACGGCCGGAACTTCTAATAACCTCATCTGTCAGATGCATGTGTGCTGTTCTCCCTGAGCTTCAGCCTCTCAGGGACCAGGTCTGGCCACTCACTCTCCTCTCCACTGGTGTTAATCTGGACCATGACCTTCAACCTTCCAGCAGAGCCTTTCTTCTGCCAGGAACTGTTCACTTTGTCTGCCAGCTTCACAGAGTCTACTGTTTCCAGCATGAAGAGGTTGGGGACAGCTGTAATGAGAACGAGGCAAGCTGGTACCCTTCATTCACCCCACTGCAGCAGGTAACACGCAGCAAACCTCTGATCTGGTAGAGGGGAAAATGTCCCAGGAAGAGAGAAAGTTAAAGCTCATAACATGAGAAGTTTTACTGGATATGAAACTCAAAGTTAGATAATCCCCACCTCATCAGCAAAGATGAGTGAGGGAAGCACTATCAGCCAACATATGTACCCAGACACTTCAAGTAAGCTGGTAACTGAGATTCTGAATGGCATGATCTAATTATGTCTCAGTTCAAACAGAGAAAGAGGTCAAATGAGAGACTAGGCAGTGGAAGTCGACACGCTGCCCTGCATGGGTATTACCACATCTTACACTTTCTGGGACAGAGTCTTCTTATTTGACAAGGTTATCTGAACAGTCCATACTACATGCTCAGTGAGACACTGAAATCATCAAAGCCACTTCTTTCCTTTTTAAAAAAACTGTTTTATGTGTATCTGTGCAATCTGTGCAATGACTGTGGAAGTCAGAAGAGGGCATCTGAATCCCCTGGAACTGAAGTTACTGATGGTTGTTAGCAGCCATGTGGGTGCTGGGAATCGAACCCAGGTACTTTGTAAGAGCAGCCAGTGCTCTTAACTGCTGACCCATCTCTCCAGCCCCCTTTAATAGCTTTTTTTTTTTTTATTTTTTATTTCTTCATCTCTCATTCTCTTTTTTCTTTTTTTGAGACAGGGTCTCCCTGTAGCCCCAGCTGACCTGGAACTCACTATGTAGACCAGGCTGGCCTTGAACTCACAGAGATCCGCCTGCCTCTGCTTCCTGAGTGCTGGGACTAAAGGCGTGTGCCGCCATGCCTGGCTCATCTCTCATTCTCTTTAACACGCAGGTATCACATTCCACAGCTACTTTGGAAATCTACTTGATTAACTCTGACATTTGTATACATTGACAAATCTTAAAAAGCAGCGTTTTCCTTTATTAAGAACTATTAATCTTGCCTCAGCTAAAGAACGATCTCAACAGAAGTAACTCCCTGCTTACTTGTACTGCATGAAGAAACCTCACAGAGGTCTGCAAACTCTCTCCCTCCTTTACTTCTTTCTTCTATGTGGGTCCTGAACCCAGGGCCTTGTGTATGAGGGGCAAGTGCTCTGCCACTGGGCTGCTACCTCCGGCCTGCATTATTCCCTCTTTTTGTGAGACAGGGCCTGTAATGGTTTCAATGAGAAGTGTCCCCTGCGGGCTCCTGTAGTCCACCGCTCCATCCCCAGTTAGTGGTGCCGTTTGAGGAGGTCATAGAACCTTTAGGAGGTGGAGCCTTCCTGAAGAAGTATGTCCCTGGGGGCAGGCTGGCTTTGAGGGTCTGTAGCGATGCCCACTTCGTTTCCTCTCTGCTTCCTGTGTGTGGATGAAAATGTGCTTGGTCAGCTTCCTGCCCCTGCCTCCCAGCCATGCCTTTGTCATGCCGTCCCCACCATGACGGACTCCCTGAGCTCTAAGCCCAAATTGCTTTCTTCCTTCAGTTGCTTCTATGGCATTTTATCACAGAAACAGATTAACAAATACAGGGCCTCGCTAGAGTCTCCTGTACCAGTTTCCTGAACAGCTGCAGGCATGTGCCACTGTGCCTGGCCAGCACTGTTTCTTGTAATCTCTACCACAGCTCAAAAGCACCATTATATCCACAGAGAAGGGAAAACTGAGGTGCAAACAGTTTAACCAAGTTTACAAAACCAGCAAACACAAGCTTGTGACTTGGTCTAATGCATTTGGAGTCCATCATCTCTTTACTTTTTATGCTGCTGGAGAGCAAACTCTGGGCCCCGACATGCTAAAGTGACACCCCAGCCAGGTCCTACCACTTTAGAATCTTTGTGACAATCTCTGGGCAATTTTTTCCTTTGACAAATCTGATGAGAGAAGCAGAACTTATTTTGTATTTCTCTGTGACCTTTTGTTTTTTAAAATATTTTATTAATTATTCTTTTATGTGTATGTGCCTTGCCTGCAAGTATTTAACTGTACCTGTGTTGTGCAGGTCGGAAGAGGGCATCAAATTCCCCTGGGACTGGAGTTACAAATGGTTGTCAGCCACCATGTGGGTACTGGGAATTGAACCCCAGTCCTCTGCAAGAGCAGCCAGTGCCCTTAACCACTGCCTTTTCTCTCCAGTGCCATATTTCTGTGGCCTTTTGTAAACAATCTGTTCTTAGCTTTTAACCCCCCCCCAAAAAAAGGGCCAAGTACGTGGCTCATTAGTAAGGGTTCTATCGCTAGCACTCCACAAACCATTGTGGTGGCGCACGCCTGCCAGCTTAGCACTTAAGAGGAAGAAGTAGGAGAACCACAAGTTCAAAGTCATCTTCAGCTGGACACTGAGTCTGAGGCCAATATGAGCTACACGAGACTTCATTTCAAGAACAAAAGAACTTACTAGACTTCTACGCTCAGACAAGACAGAGCTACTTAGGAGGCTGAGGCAAGAGGATAAAAGTTCGAGGGCTGCTTGGGTTACAAAGTAAGTTCAAGATTAGCTTGAGTAGCTTAGTGAGACCCTGCTTATCACAAAATAAAAGGTGGGTTGGGGATACAGTCCAGCGGCAGAAAATTTGCTTAGCATGTGTTAGATCCTGGGAGGGGAGCGGGAACAACAAATCTGAGGTACCCGTTTATCTTTTTTTTCCCCACAATTTTTCCTTTCCTTATTTTTTTAAAAATCGTACTTAGCTCTCCTCCTGTGTCTGCACCTCCCCTACCCAACACCAAACCCCTCCTCCCTTGTTAGGGTTATGTTCCCAAATACCCTTCAGTGTGGGTCCATCCACGGGAGCCTGGTCAACCTACCAAGGGTCTCACCCTTAAATGAGGCTGACTCTCCCCTCTCCCAGCAGCCATCAGTTACCAATAGTTCCTCAGGTATAGTGGGGTTTGGTACACACTTCCTCATGTCTCTGCTGGGTTTGTCTGGTTTGAGCTTGCATGGAACTTGTCCATGCTGTCACCACTGTTTTGAGTTCATATGAGTAACTGACCAGCTGTCTGGTCTCCGGCTCTTACAATCTTTCCACTCCCTCTTCTACAACAATCCCTGAGCCTTGGGGGGCAGACATTTGATACAGGTTGTCCTGTTCAGGGATAAGCAGCCTGCAGTTTCTTATTCTCTGCAGGTTGACTGGTTGTGTTCTCTGTGCTCATCACCATCTGCTGTATAAGGAAGCCTCTCTGCTCAGAGTTCAGAGATGTGTCAAAGCAGGTCTGGGAAAGCTTCTAGATCTCAGGGACCACAAAGGTCTTAATCCTTATATCTTTTTAAAAACTGTATTATTTCCGGGTGTGGTGGCGCACACCTTTAATCCCAGCACTCAGGAGGCAGAGGCAGGCGGCTCTGTGAATTCAAGGCCAGCCTGGTCTACATAGTGAGTTCCAGGACAGCTGGGGCTACAGGGAGACCGTCTCAAACAAACAAAAAAACTGTATTATTATTATTGTGTATGGTGCATATATGTGAATGAGGGTGCATGTGTGCCAACATATAGGAATTGGTTTTCTCCTTCTACTGTGGAAAGTCAAGGATCAAATTCATCAACTCATATTACCAGGCTTATATGGCAAGTGCTTTTACACTCAGCCATCTTGACAGCTCTCCTCCTTTTTTTTTTTTTTTTTGGTTTTTTTGAGATAGGGTCTCCCTGTAGCCCTAGCTGGCCTGGAACTTGCTATGTACACCAGGCTGGCCTTGAACTCACAGAGATCTGCCTGCCTCTGCTGCCTGAGTGCTGGGATTAAAGGCATGCACCATCATGCCTGGCAACAAATGATGAACTGGGTATGTTCTAAAAGCTACTGTCTCACACAGAAGGTGGATGACACAGTGATGGAGTTCTATCTCCACACTTAAGAGATTTATCTTACCCATCAGTTTGTTGACATTTTGTTTCTGTAAATGGCCAATGAAGTGCCACTTGATCTCAGGACACGAAGACAGAATCTGAGGAGAAAAAGTAACTGTGACTCAGTGACTCAGATTTACAGAAGCCTTGCGGCTCCTGCACTCACCCAGAGAGCTTCAGAGATACGCTCTGCTCTGTCCCTTAAGTGTGATAAACTGCCACTCCATCTTCAGCTGTCTCCTAATGAGACAAAAGGACACTTAGGGAAAAGTCTAAGGCTTCTGCCCTGTTTCCCTTCCTTGTTCCCATCAACTCACTGAATTTTTCAGATAACTCCCATTAGAGATGAATCTGATTTCTGTTTTCAAGGCAAGTACTCTACCACTAAGCTAGAGACCTCTCACCTTTTGATTTATGCTTTCAATCTCAAGACTACAGCTAGCTCCTAAAATCACCATTTGTAAACAGTCACAAAGGAGAAAATTAAAGTCTGAATACAGAGAAGCTAGCTGAGAATTATTTGGGGCTCAAGGGAAAAGTGGACAATTTCTATCCCTAGTTCAATTTCCTGTTCTAGAAACACCACCACCACGGATCTAATTTTCAACTAGAGAGGCAAGAGTTACACACAAAATAAAGAGTTCCAACGTCCACTCACCTTGGGATTTGATGCTTTCTCTAGTAGCTCCTGAACCTAGAGAGTAAGAACAGACAAGTCAGGGGCCTGGTGGTGGTGAGTCACAAAAGGCTCTTTGAGGGAGGAATCTTACATAGTTCTCTCCGAAAGTGCGCTGGCCGTGATCGTAGGCCTCAATCACCATGTCTGCAGGTTTCGTTTTGCTGACTGCTACTAGCCGTGGTTGAATGGCTGGGAGATCCTGTCAAGGGAGAAAGAGCTACAGAGTGAGGGAATAAAGTACAAGTAAGACACATCTGCAGAATAGATCGGAATGGGTCTCTATGTGGCACTGGCAAGGTCCATTTTCCTTGTTCTTTTGTTTTGCGGCGGTTACGGAACCCGGGGTATTAGGAATATTATGCTAGTGCTCTAACACTGAGCCACATCCTTCCCCTAGGGATTTCCTGTAACAAGTGCTCCAGATGATTCTCATACATGCCAAGTTGGATGGAGGTTTAAGAATCTGTGAAATGGGGGCTGGAGAGATGGCTCAGTGGTTAAGAATAATGGTTGTTCTTGCAGAAGACCTGGGTTCAAATCCCAGCACCTACACGGCAGCTGTCTGTTCCTCCAGTCCCAGGGGGTCTGACAGCCTCTTCCGTCCTCCACGGGCAGTGCACAACACGGGTGCACTTACCTACATGCGGCAATACACGCATACACATAAAATAAAAATGATTAAAAAAAAAAATCTGAAATGGCTCAGTGGGTAAAATGCTAGCTAGCTGTGCAAGCATGAGGGCTTGAGCCTGGATCCCTAGTACCCACATTAAAGGTGGGTGTGATGGCACATGCCCATAACCCCAGTGCCAGAGGGCAGAACCAGAAGGATTCCAGGAGTTCACTGGTCAACCAACCAGCCTAGCCAAGATGGCAAGCTCCAGGTTCAGTGCTTCAAAACATAAAGTTGAGAGTGATAGAGGACACTGATCTGAACGACCTCTGGCTTCACGCACACATACGTGGGCAAGCACATACTCATATGCTGTATCACACACATTAAGAATCATGTCATTTTAGGCAGGGGGTATAGCATCACGGTGGTAGAGTGTTGGTCACAGCATTCATGAAGCCCTCCCTGGGTTGCATCTCCAGCACCAGAAACCAACAAAATGAGCTCCAACAAAACACAACAGAATCGCTTCATTAAGGGAAGGCAGCATTTTGACTAGCAGGAAGGTCACTTCTAGCTTCTAAAACCCCAAGGTCAACGGCTGGCAAACTCACTTGGGGGGCAGGTCTCGTCTCTTTCTCTCTTTTTTTTTGAGACAGGGTCTTCCTATAGTCCCAGTTGACCTACAACTTGCTATGTAGACCAGGCTAGCTTTGATCTCAGAGATCTGCCTGTCTCCAGAGTGCTGATATAATAACAATGCTTCCATTTACTCTGAGACTCAGCTGAGGTAATACATATAGTTTACTGTTCAATCCATAACTCAACCAACCAAAGGCAGAACTGACACTGGGACAGGAACAATTCTGGATTCAAGAATAGACTTATCCCACCTCTCCCCACATCCACTACCAAAAACTGTTTCCCAGCTTTCTGCTGTAGCCAACAATAGGCTCACTTGTGCTGGGCGTGGTGGTGCTGGCCTTCAATCCCAGTGCTCAGGAAGATCTCTGTGTGCTCTAGGCCAGTTTGTTCTATACAGTGAGCTCAGGGCCAGTCAAGGATATATAGTAAGCCTGCATATGTAATAAAACATAAATTCCTTTGTTCTTAGAGAACTGGGTCTTTATGGCCCCCCACCACTGTCTGAGGCTCTCACAGAACCACAGCATCATCAAGGAGCTGAGGAAACCACACAAATAGCACAGTCTCCCTTTGCTTTCTGTGGAGGAGCTGCGTTCCTAGTCTCTTGTGGGACTGTGTTGTAAGTCCTATGATTATGTTGATGAATTGATGGCTTCCAAACAGCAAAGTGGAATATGCAGTCCAGCTCCCTAAGAACTGCCCAGAATGATGTGCATTAGGGGCCTCCCAAGAATTTTCTTTGGAGAAACGGGGGCCATCAGTGCCATAAGGGAGCATCCCAAGCTCCTCCCACTGCCTGCAGTACTAAAATAAATAAATGGAGGGTCAGCGCAGTTATAGGACTTGTTCAAGGTAACAAGACAGCAGGTAAGAAAGACTACGGGCTGGAGAGGTAGCCAGGTGAGAGCACTGGCTGCTCTTGCAGAAGACCAGGGTTTGGTTCCCAGCACCCACACTGCAGCTAACAACCGTCCTTAACTCTAGTTCCACGTAATCCACACCCTTTTGTGGCCTCTGCAAGCATTGCACATCTGGGTGCACCCACATACATGCAGGCAAAACACTCATACACATAAAAACAATCTTTAAAGACAAGACTATGTAACTCAGCCTTCTGCCTCAGGCACCATTCTGAGTTGAGACAATAAACACTAGATCAGTGAGGTCTTTGACTTCTCATTCCACATCATATAGTTTAATTTGCGTGGAGAAAAGCAGACACCCGCTTGGGTCTAATAACAAAGTCCAAGAGGGGACAACAGCGCAGTACCAAAAGGAAAAACAATCTTTTTGAAGTGCCTGTGATCTGGCAGGCACCTGACAGCAGCTGCCTGAAACTCTGGCCTGCCCATTCCTGTCCTCCAGACCCTGACTTCCTCCTCCTCCAGACCCCCACCTGTTCCTCCTCCAGACCCTGACTTCCTCCTCCTCCAGACCCCCACCAGCTCCTGTCCTCCAGACCCCCAGCTGCTCCTGTCCTCCAGACCCCCACCTGCTCCTCCTCCAGACCCCCACCAGCTCCTGTCCTCCAGACCCTGACTTCCTTCTCCTCCAGACCCCCACCTGCTCCTCCTCCAGACCCCCACCCGTTCCTGTCCTCCAGACCCTCACCTGCTCCTGTCCTCCAGGCCCCCACCTGCTCCTGTCCTCCAGGCCCCCACCTGCTCCTCCTCCAGACCCTCTCCTGCTCCTGTCCTCGAGGCCGCCAACTGATCCTACTCTCGACCCTCTCCTGCTCCTGTCCTCGAGGCCGCCAACTGATCCTACTCTCGACCCTCTCCTGCTCCTGTCCTCGAGGCCGCCAACTGATCCTACTCTCGACCCTCTCCTGCTCCTGTCCTCGAGGCCGCCAACTGATCCTACTCTCGACCCTCTCCTGCTCCTGTCCTCGAGGCCGCCAACTGATCCTACTCTCGACCCTCTCCTGCTCCTGTCCTCGAGGCCGCCAACTGATCCTACTCTCGACCCTCTCCTGCTCCTGTCCTCGAGGCCGCCAACTGATCCTACTCTCGACCCTCTCCTGCTCCTGTCCTCGAGGCCGCCAACTGATCCTACTCTCGACCCTCTCCTGCTCCTGTCCTCGAGGCCGCCAACTGATCCTACTCTCGACCCTCTCCTGCTCCTGTCCTCGAGGCCGCCAACTGATCCTACTCTCGACCCTCTCCTGCTCCTGTCCTCGAGGCCGCCAACTGATCCTACTCTCGACCCTCTCCTGCTCCTGTCCTCGAGGCCGCCAACTGATCCTACTCTCGACCCTCTCCTGCTCCTGTCCTCGAGGCCGCCAACTGATCCTACTCTCGACCCTCTCCTGCTCCTGTCCTCCAGCCCCCCACCTGCTCCTGTCCTCCAGGCCCCCACCTGCTCCTCCTCCAGACCCTCTCCTGCTCCTGTCCTCCAGACCCCTACCAGCTCCTCCTCCAGACCCCCACCAGCTCCTGTCCTCCAGGCCCCCACCTGCTCCTCCTCCAGACCCCCACCAGCTCCTGTCCTCCAGACCCCCACCAGCTGCTGTTCTCCAGACCCTGACTTCCTCCTCCTCCAGACCCCCACCCGCTCCTGCCCTCCAGGCCCTCACGGCCCCGTTTCCGCGGCAGAGGAGATCCGAGCAGCCCTGGGCGTCCACCCGCCCTCGCCTGGCCGCCGTCCCCCGCCCACCTGCCCCAGCCACGGTCTTTACCCGCGGCCGGCGCGCCACGGCCTGCTGCACGCGCTCTTTCACTGCCCGCAGCGCGAACCCTACTCCCAGCTCGGCCGACATACCACCAGCTTTCCACATTCCCCGGAGGACGCCGAGCCCAGAACCCAGCACCCTGAGACCGCCTTCCGGCCCCTCCCCTTCCCTGCGAGGCCCAATCGCCGCTCGCCATCTAGAGTACTCTCGCTCCGTCTTGGAGGTCGGCGCCATCTTGGGGAGGTCTCTTCACTTCGTTAGCAGGAGCCGGGATCCTGAATAGGCAGCTCAGCCCGCTGCTCTTTCCGGCTGCTGTTCCCTACCATCCAGGGATGTTTGCTTCTTTTTGTTTTGAGACGCGGTCTCCCGGTCTCTCCAGCGGGCTTGGAACTTGCAGTGTAGACCAGGCTGGCCTCCATCTCATGTCCGCCTGCCTGTGCTGGGACTAAGGGCGTGTGCCACCACGCTGGGCCCCGCAGCCTCCTTGGGATTTTTGAGGCAAACCCCTCAGGCTTTCAAAAAGTGGTTTACAAGGTTTGCATAGTCTGAGTTTAAGAACAGTACACTAGCGGTGTTGGTGCAAGGACAGGGATTAGAAGCTGCTAGAATTGAGACATAGGTCATATGGTTCTTGAGAGGAACCGTTAGGAGATATAAAAGGCTCTGAAGATATGGCAGGAGCTGGGGATGTGGCTCAGTGGAAGAGTTTAATATGGCCAGCCGTTTGTTCAATCCCAGCACTGAAGGGGGTGGGGGGACCACGATGACAAAACACATTATTCAACTACATGGCTTTTGTCATTTCTTAGACTGTTGAAATATGCAATCCACATGCATTTGCTTTTTTGGTTTTTTTGAGACACGATCTTTTGCCCAGGCTGACCTGGAACTCATAGCTTCCTCCTGCCTCAGCTTCCTGCTGGTGTTACAGGCATGAGCTACTTGGCAGATGTTTAGCCCAATAGATCCAAAGTTAAGATCTCAATATACCATCAATAGAAAACCTAAATAAGACATTTATTTTAAAAATCATGCTCAGCATTTGAAACTCATGTGTAGTTTCGATTTAGTCTGTAATTCAAGTGGTCAGGGGCCACCTTGGCTAGTGTTGTCAGAGGAGAGCACAACTGGCTTAGTTGTCTATCATGGGCTCATCACACAGTCCAATTCCCGAATTAAACAGTCTTTGTGGCAGTGTGGTCATAACTTTGATGAGAAGCCTGAACACCACAGTGAGTAGTATTAGGGTTCCAAACAGTAGCAGCTTCCCCCCTCCCCAACAGGGACCTACAGACTTTTGGAGCCCGAAAAAGGGAACTGAGCTGATAAGCACCTTGGCCTTTGAAGTCAAGGGAAACAAACTCTGCTGAGAAGCAGCCTGCCTTTCCTCTGACCTCCAAAGACAAGATAAGCAGATTCTACCTGTTAATCAGAGACTTTTAGAAGCTGGTTATCACAACAGCTTCTCTCTTATCTTAAGAGGGAAAAAGTAAACACTTTCAGACCCAGATCCTACCTGGCAGACTAAATGGATCCAGGTTTACAAGCCCTGCTTTTCCTGCTTCACCCTGCCTGATTTTTCCCCCAAACACTACCCCTCTTCTGCACCCTAAAGCCCCCATATATAAGTCCCAGCTCACAACCCGTGGGCTGACATCTTTCCCTTCCCAGAGGGAAATGTGTGCCGTGCGAAATAAAGCTGTATCCCACTGAGAATTCTATCTGTGCCTCGGTGTCTCCTCCATCCACTCGCTCTCCACTCCCAACTTTTTACCTATCAAGTAGTGCTGTCCAACAATAAATTTCACATTCAGGTAGTGAGACATTAGGTGCTGTGCTCAAATAGAGGTGAATTTTAAAAAAACTACTTTGGCTGCAATCATTGCTGATTCTCAAACATTTAACTCAGTGAAGTGGGATACTATCACATTGGAGAAAGGGCTAGAGTCTTCTCTAGGTTTTCTTGAGGTAGAAGGGCTTACTCAGCCCCTGGGAAGAAGGGGCTCTCTTCTCAGGCTGCTCTCAGGGTGCTCCGCAGACCGCAGGAAGGAAGATGGTGTTGCACATACTCTGCTCTGAGAAAAGAGCTCTTAGATCATTGTAGTAAGAGACTCTTTAGGGGAAAATTCTGCTCCTTTACCATGGTCCATGGGACTGGATTATCTGTAAACAGGATTGTCGAAGACATTAGGAATAATTGTGTCCAAGTAGAATGTCTTTATACTTGATAATATTGCTACTTTCACCAAAGTGAAAAATTTGAAAATGACGATAGTCTGTCATAGAACGAACCTCAGAGATATTTGCTGTAGAGACACAGCTGGAAAGACCCTGTCAGCAGGAAGTGAGAGGAACAAAGGGGTCATGGTGAAGGGATGTGTGGAGGGACAGGAGCATGAGATTTTAGAGATGGCTTAGGGGGTAAGGATGCTTGCCACCAATCCTGATGCCCTGAGTTTGATACCCAGAATCCACATGATGGAAGGAAAGAACTGACTCCTACAAGAACTGGCTGCTCTTGTACAGGACCCAGGTTTGGTTCCCAGCACCCACATAGCAGCTAACAACCATTCATAATTCCAGTTTCAGGGGACCTGATGCGCCTTCTGAAATCCTTGGGCACTGCATGTACATAAATGCAAGCAAACACACACACACACACACACACACACACACACACACACAAAAGAGCCTCCTATATGGCATTTATACATTTCAGTTTTTAAAGTGTGCGTGCGTGTGTGCGTGTGTACAGGTAGGTGTGCCTGCATGTGTGTGGAGGCCAGAGGTCAATATCAGATGTCCTACAACCTGGAGTTTGCCAATGTGGCTAGACTGGATGGCCAGTAAACTTCAGGGATCTTCTAGTTTCTGCCTCTTTAGTACTGGATTACAGGTGGGGGTGAAGGGATCCAAACTCAGGTCTTCATTTTGGCATGGGTAAGCATCTTTAATCATTGAAACAGCTCTCTAGCCCTGAGGTCAGGTCTTAAACTTTCCACTTATGTCTCCTTTTTGCCTGAGAAATTTTTCTGGACCCAGGGAGTAGAGGTGTATAAAGCAGGTATGTAATCACATACTGATTATAAATAATTGACTTATTTTAAAATTTTTATTTTATTCTTGTCGTGCAGGTGTGTGTCATATATACACATGGTGATCAGAGGACAGCTCTATGAGTTTTCTCATTCCATCTTTATACGGGTTCCAGAATTACACTCGTGTCATTAGGCAGTCACAGGAAGTGTTTTGACCCACTGAGCCATCTTCCAGGCACTGTAAATTTATCTTAAAACAGGGCTGGAGATATGGCTCAGCCGTTAAGAGCACTGGTTGCTCTTGCAGAGGATCTGGGTTCAATTCCCAGCTCCCACATGGTGGCTAACCAGTTCCAGGGGATCCACTGCCCTCTTCTGACCTCTGTGGGCACTGCATAACATGGGCGTTCTTACACACATGGAGGCATTACACTCATATACAAAAATTAACAGTAATATTAAAAATATATAAATTATCAGGGCTGGACAGATGGCTCAGTGGTTAAGAACACTGGTTGTTCTTGCCCGGGTTCATGTCCCAGCACCCACATGGCAGCTAACAACTGTCTGTAACTCCAGTTCCAGGAGATCCACAGTCTCTTCCGTCCTCGCTGGCATTGCACGACACGGGTGCACTTACCTACATGCAGGCAATGCATGCATACACATAAAAATAATACATAAAATATTTTTTTAAAATTATCTTAAAACAATTTGTGTACATATAACTTTACCATTTATTAAAGATGGGTACTAATGAGATGCATGTGCTTGTTTTAAATGAAGAAATTGCTTTAAATTTTTTTCTTTTACAGTTTCATACAACATAATATATTTTGGTCAGTTTTAAGGCCCCCATTGACCTCTCATCTTTCTCCCACTTCCCCTGAACCCCCTTTTCTTCCCAACAAGTCACCTTCTTACCTTCATGTCTGTCTTGTGACCCACTGAGTATAACCATGTTGCTTGCATGAGCACAGGTGGAGATTATTCACTGGAATGTCATCAACTTGCCAGGGGCTCCACCACTCAAGAAAAATGACCCCCTTCCTCTAGCAACCACTGACCACCAATAGCACCTCAGGAATGGGTGGAACTTGAGTCCTTCTCCAAAAACTTCACTCTTGACTAAATATTTGATACTTCAGGATGTAGAGCATACGTACTGCTGAAAATGCCATTTCTAATACATACATAATACAAAACGGCAAAAGTATGTTGGGGGCTGTTTTCAGAAATTCTTGGAAATTCTGTCCAAATGTCATGCAGTGAGTTTGCATCCTGGTGAACGCAAAGCCAAAGCAGACATGGCTAACACATAAAAGGGTGAAAATTTACAACTTGCAGCTGGCAAGAAGAGCAGGAGAATCATTTCCAAATGATGCTGTCCCTGACCAAAGGGAAGGTGAGGACCTTGGGGATGGAAACCTGCATGTTTGTATGGGGGAGGCATTTTTGGGAGGGTACATTTCTGTGGATGCCCAGTTTGTGGCATAATGTTTAACTCAAAATAAAGGGTAGTTTGGAGGTACATTAGCACAGACACCTGCTCCCGAAGGCATCTGCTTTGCTTAGTCACTAACACTAATCCCAAGTCAAAATTCATTTAATTAGTTTTTAAGAAACTGAAATTAGCAACACAAACAGCAATTTTGTTTTTTTTTGTTGTTGTTGTTTGTTTTTTGAGACAGAATCTCATGTAGCTCAAGCTTCAAACTCGCTGTTTAGCTGAGGATGAGACGACCTTGAACTCCTGGTTTACCTCTTCCACCTCCCAAGTGCTGAGATCACAGGCATGTGCCACCACCATACTCGGCCCTAAAAATCAAACATTCTAGGATTACAGGCATGTGCCACCATACTCGGCCCTAAAATCAAACATCCTAGAATTACAGGCATGTGCCACCATACTTGGCTCTAAAATCAAACACTCTAGGATTACAAACATTCTGGGGTCACAGGCATGTGCCACCACACTCGGCTCTAAAATCAAACATTCTAGGGTCACAGGCATGTGCCACTACACTTGGCTCTAAAATCAAACAATCTAGGGTCACAGGCATGTGCCACCACACCCGGCTCTAAATCAAACACTCCTAATTCCAGCACTTGGGAGGTAGAGATGGGAAAACTATCATAAATTTAAGGCCAATTTGGCCCCAGGTTTTAGGTCAACGAGGACATCATAGACAAGACGTTGTTTCCAAAAACCAAAACCAAAACCAAACATTCTAACACAACACAATCCAAAGATACAGTAATTTGGAGCTGGGGACGTAGCTGAGTTAGTAGAGTGCTTACTTCAAAGGCACAGAGAGCTCTAGGCTGTCTCCAGCACTACATAAATTGGGTGTGTTGATGATGTGTGTTGTCTGGGTTCCCAACACCAAGGAGGTGGAGACAGGAAAATGAGAAGTGGTCATGCTGGGCTACATTGTGAGTTAGAGACAGCCTGGGCTACATGAGGCCCTGACTCAAAACAAAAACACCACCAGGCATGGTGGCACACTCCTTTAATACCAGTAGGTGGATCCCTGTAAGTTCCAGACCAGCCTGGTCTACATAGGGAGTTCCAGGTCAGCCATGGCTACATAGTGAGACTTTGTCTCAAGGAGGAGGCAAAAAAGCCCTCAAACCAACCAAACAAAATTAAAATTAAAAACCCTAAGATAAATTTGATACATGATGAATCACTCTTTGCTTCCTATTACGTTTTTGTAAGAGAAAACTTTGTATGTACAATAAGAACATTGCAATTCCTAACACTCGAGTCTCAACTCTGAGCAGAGGTGTTTCAGGCAGTGTTCGTTGGTGTTGGGTGGTGCGACAGCTGCATAGGGCAAAGTGCACCTGCGTGTGGGTCCACAACCAAGGCTGCAGTTAGTTGTGCAGTACATCACAGGCGAGCAAGGCCAGAAATACCAGATTCATTACACATTTGATTCTGAATTTTTGATTGCTGTATGTTCAGAACCCTTTTGCCGGTGTCAGAGTGGTATGACCATAGAACTTCCTCACAATGAGGCTAAACTGGTGGGCCAGTGAGCCCCAGGAATTCTGTTGTCTCCATCTCTCCAGCACTGGGATTCCAAGCATACACTATGTGTTTGGCATTTTCACGTGGGTTCTGGGGATAGGTTGCAGGTCCTCATCCTCTGAGGTTAGCACTTTACTCAGCTATCCCAGCCTCCAAAATAGCTTGAAGTTACACAAGCTAGGCACTGTTCTAAGAACCTTGCCCACATGTTATCTCATAGTTTACTCAATCCATTTTATAGACAGACATTGAGGCTTAGAGACATAAAAAGCTAATTCATGTTGGGCATGGTGGTACATGCTTTTGATCCTAGGATTTGGGAGAGGCAGGAAGACCATGGGTCCAAGGTCAGTGTGGGATGCAGATAATGAATTCAAGACCAGATCCGAGATACGCAAAACCTGTGACATACACATACAAATATTAAAGATTCCCAAAGGTTTTGGAATGTAGTTCAGTAGCAGGGCTCACTTGCCTAGCAGGTGCAAGGTCTTGGGGAGAATTAGTAGATTCAAAACCACACACTTAGAAGTAGTAGGACAGGAATTGGAACCCTCACAATCCAATTCCAGTAATTAACCCCCTAATTTACCCATTAAATTGTAAATTCAGATTATTTATGTATCATGCGCTCAAATTAGTAAAGACTGGGAATACCATTAGTAAAGACTGGGGCTGGAGAGTTATAGCTAGCTCAGTGGTCCAGAATGCTTGCTGCTCTTCCAGAGAACTCAAGTTCGGTTCCCAGCACCCACACTGGGTGGCTCACAACTGCCTGTAACCTTAGCTCCAAGGAATTCAGTGCCCTCTTCAGGCTTCCAGGGGCACCTGCACACATGGCATTCATTCATACAGACCCACATACATTCATATACACAGATTAAAAAAAAAATCTCCCAAATACCTGGTAAGGCAGGACGGCTTTGAGGCCAGCCTGGGCTCCAGTGAGACCCTATCTCAAAACACTAAAAACAAAACAAAATCCCCAAGGCTGGACTAATGCTGCCAGATGCAAAAGAAGCACCAGGTGTGGGTGGACAATTCTCCTTTCAGAGGCCACAGGTTAATAAATGAAAACGCCAGTGTGCAGTGTGGGACATCTTTGGGTCAGGGAGCCCCCAAACACTACAGGCTACTGCTCCCGCCCTTGGTTGCCCTCAGAACTGTATGCGAAAACCCGATTGCTGAAGATACCACACACTTTGGTTGCAGAGCAGCTAAGCTGGAGCTGAGGGGGAAGCCTCCTTCTTGCTGGTAAGCTTTCAGTGTCAGAAGATGCTCTGTGTGCTACTGGGGGAGAAGAATCATCAGTGGTCTTGCCTGACATGAACCCCATGAGCTAGAACACCAGCTTGCCAGGAGAAATGTGCAATAATGCCATGACTATTATGGGGTAACCAACTGCTTTTTGATTGGATTTGAGGTCTGCTCCACAGAAGGAATTCATGCCTGGTACTCTAAATCTAGTCAAAAGTCCAAGGCTGGGGCGGTCATAAGCTCTAGGGGAGAACCTCCTATTGTTTTGTCAAATGGATATGGCATCCAACTGCCTTCCAAAAATTTATGTTTATATCCATAGATTATACTGATTTCAGCCTTGGTCAGAGAACCTTCTTTTAGCAGCAGGTGATAATGCAGACTCACAACTGCTTGGGGTGCTGAGAATACGGTGGCCATCCAGTGCTCAGCCCTAAACTGCACACCTCTACCATCCCCTCCAAGGCTTGCCATTATGGAAGGGGCAGAAAGAAGAAAGAGCCAGAGGATGGGGAGGAGTGCCGTGAGATGCCATCTTCTGGGGGAGGGTCACAAAGCCTACCACTCCTTGACAAGGTCTAGGCAGTCAATGGCTACTTTGGGGCGGGAAGGGGCAGTCATGTTCCTCAGTGGAGTAGCTACTGGTCAGGTTGTCCCTGCCTAAGTAAATGACTCCATCCACTTAGACTCATGCAAGCAACCTTACTTAAATCAGTGGGCCATTAAAAAAAAAACAAAACCTGGGGGGGGGGCGCTGGAGAGATGGCTCAGCAGTCAAGAACACTGGCTGTTCTTGCAGAAGACCTGGGTTTGAATCCCAACACCCACATGGCAACTAACAATTGTCAGTAACTCCAGTCCCAGGGGATCTGACAGTCTCTTCTGTCCTCGCTGGCATTGCACGACACAGGTGGACTTACCTACATGCAGGCAATATACACATACACATAAAAATAAAATATTAAAAAAAATCTGAAAGAAAGGGCCATGTTGGGAAGGAGTCTGGTGGGAGGGGGATGGGGATACAAGAGGATAATGTGGAAGATATGATCCAAGTGCAATAGATATGTATGGAATTGTGAAAGAATAATTATAAAAGATTGACATAAGGAAAAAAAAAACGAAACAAAACACTACCATGAAACCCAGTTAAATTTGAGTTTCTGATAAAGAGCAAAATGCTTTCATAAAAGTCTAAGTATTCACCATTGTTCAAATGACAGTCACATGTATCTGGCCATCCTATATGGCGAGCCAGAGCAGAGCCTGGGGGTTCCACACTGAATTGTGACCAAATTTGAGTCAGCTGAGCATATCTCTACCTTTTGGAGAAGTGCAGCAATGGATTAGTTATTTAGTGGGATCAATTTCTGGAGCATTCGCCAAGTTATGCCACATTCATGCCTCTTTCTCATGGTGTTTCTATGGAGATCGGTTTTCACCTGAATACTTTTTAGGAAAACTCCCCTCACAGGCCAGGGTGAGTCATTCCTCCTCTCACCTGTCCTGACACCAGCCATTGTTGCATTCTGCTTTAGTAAGAAAGTGAACACAAAGACTTACTTTATTTAGCAAGACTGAAATTAAAACCAAGACATAAATAAATTCACATGAGACCTCTTGTGTTGTCCAGAAACTTCCTGGATCTATCCCCGAGACAATCAGTTAATCTAATAGTGTCATTTATAGAATGATTACTGTAGCAAGAATCATTTCTCAGTTACAAAGGGGGCTCATTAAGCCCTGAAGGGCTCTGGGGTGGGGGGGGAAGACTAGTCCATTTACATAAAAGCAGAGATAAAAAGGAATGGAAGGACAAGCAATGATTGCCCATTACAGCTTTTTTAAGGAAACAACACAAACAGCATCTACGAGCCCAATGAGTACAAGTAGGTTAGGTTCACAGACACACAGTAGCTATTTGTCAAGACAAACTTAAGACAGCCAAGGTTGGGAACTGTGATTATCTTGCTTTCACAATTTAAATGGTAAAACTATCAACATTGAAAGATACGAAACATCTTTTTTAGGACATTCAGTGGTTCCTTCCTCCTCAGCATAGTATAATCGCCAATTCTTCCACTTCTATTTTTAGTTATATATAAAAATTATTAACAAACTTTGGCTTCCTTACAAACATTCTGACCATATATTCAAAAAAGTGATTAAAAACTGCAAAGTTTAATGAATGAGAAACATTCTGTTTCTTGGGAAAATCCTACAAAAACTGAATTTATAAACAGTTACTTATTTTAATAGAAGTTCTACTTATAAATAGCAGCCATGACTTTACCGCCTACAAAACTGCAGGCTTATCACATTTTATGTTTAAATTCAAATGTCTTAAGATCAGTTTTCTAGTATAAAAGCAGTCACACACAGACAGACGGGCTAGTCATCCTGTGCTGAGGCGGCAGTGGACAGCCATGGTTTTACTTCTGTGACAGATACCCACGACTATTGGACTGGTTAACGGCATGGGAACATTTCGTTTTTTTTTTGTTTAAAGAAGTGACAGTTACATTGGGTGGGTGGGGGCAGTTGCAGCAGGACTTTATCGAGGCTCTTTGTGGTTAGGGGACAAGCTAGCAGGGTGTTAGTACCAGGGAGACTGCCGAGCTGAGTGAGTACTATCTGGTCAGATACTCTTACCCCTGTGCTGACTGCGTGAAGTAGTGTTTTCTGAGGCTCAGGTGGAAGAGCTTAGAGGAGAATGAAGACACATGTGACTGGGGGGGCGGGGCTGTGCTGGGTACAGCATGTTGCTCTTAACAAATGTTTAGCAGCAGTGAGTGTGAGGAAGATGAATGCGTTTCAACAATGGGTGCCCTACTTGTCGTGGGAAGAGACCACCTCTGTAAGAGCTCCTGAACACATTACAGTATATTCCTTCCACAAACGTTTTGTGGCCTATACAAAGCATGACAGGACCAGTGGCTTGAGAAATCTGTGATTAGTTGGAACAGAGAAAGACAGCACTTGGAGGAGGGGAGCTGGTGCTCTGCCTCTTTATAGGCAGGATGAACGCTCCCCCAACACCTGACAGGCCTGGTACCACTCAGAAGCAAGCTGGCCTGAGTTACAGAACCAAAAATGAGGTGGGGATTGGTGTCAAAAACACCATTAACAGTACTCACCTAGAAGATACAGTAGGTGCCTGTGTGTTGGGGGCACTTAATAACAAGGTCAAGAGCTGATCATGCTTACGCAGGGTATGGATGTGTAAAGTAACTGCACAGCTGCCCTCCACACAGCAATTCTGGGTAGCACTCACTGGCCATACAGGTCGGAGCCCTGCTCCCACCCCAATTTCAGGACCTAAGAAATACCTTTCCTTTATGTTTGTTCTCTCCATTCTGAGTCTCCCAAGGTGACTCCTTATATTCCTAACTAGGAAAGAAAAAGAAAACATTCTGAATGTATTTTGATTCAGACCCAAAACTCTGACTTGAAGCTACACTGCAGCTCTGTAGGCGACTCCCAAGTGGCTGCCTGGAGTCCTGGATTTAGAAGCTTTTCTTAACAGTATGTCAGGGACCCAGCACAGGCCACAGGCACTACAACTTGCGCATCTCTTGGCTGACACTTCCTCCTCCACACACCGTGTCTGAGCTCTTCAATGAAGAATCTTCACTCTAATAAAGGGGTTTGGTCTCAGAAGTACACATAATCAGGCCAGCAAGAACTACAGTGCTTAATAGGCATAATGACCCTACTTTATGGGTTAGTAAGACACTTCCTGTTCCTATCTTTTTGATCCTGAGTGAAACTAATGGACAAATTATTCAAGAAGCAATCAAACCACAGGTACGGTGTTGTATGTTAGTGACTAAGCAGGGCTGCTGGAGATGTAGTCAGAAAACACTACCCTTTGAGCCCCAGGACAAGGAGGGTAATGTATAGAAAATCTTGCAAAACTTAGCACCGGGTTCTTCCTTAGGTGGCTCAACGAAACTTGCCCCTAAAATAACTCACACTCACGATGACAGAAATGCCCAGCAGGCCAATGCTCTCAGCAACTGATGCTCCCAGTGCACATGTGCCCCTCCCACAGACAGCAGCTGCCGGCCTTAGAGGCAGGGGTGAGAACTGTGGAATGCATTTTCCCAAATGAGAGAAGTCAAACCACCAGGAGCAGCCGACACACGTCTCTCCTACTACTGACAGCATCTCCAGGTATGCCAGCTTCAAAGGGACAGAGTTGGTGTCTGCAGGTCAGAGGTCAAATCTATGGTTTACACACCATGTAAGAAGTCACACTTACCTGAATGAAAAGCCCTAATTATTCGTCTGCCCTCCCTTCCCAGAAGGGGAGTACATTTAAGTCCACTGCTTCCTTTTTTACCATGGTAACTTGAAGAGTCAAAGAAGTTGGTGTGGAAGGAACATTCTGTTTCAGCTTAAAAATAAAGATCTCTCTAAGTGTCACGATCAGAGGTCACAGACAAAGAGCTTTCTCAGTTATCCTTCGTGGCTGCCTCTAGGGGCTCGTCTTCTAGGCCAAGGCTCGACTTGTCAGCCAGCCCCTCAAAGTGCTTGCCCAGACCTCCTGCAGAGTCCATAAACATGTTGGGGATGTCCTTGCCGAAGTAGACCTTGCTGTTGGAAGCAATGGCCTTGTACTTCATCAGCTGTAGATATTCTGGGGTCAGCTTTAGCTATGACCAAAAAGTGAACAAAGTTGGGGGACAACATTAGAGAGAAATCTGGTGGTACCCCTTCAATTTTCACATGGAGAGGTTCCCTGCCAGAGAAGCATGCCCCTCTACGTTTCAAGGCCTCCCTGTCATGTTAGCACAGGAAACCATTTCTGAGAAAAAGAAATCTAAGATGTTTAAGATACAGTAGCAAGGTTCTCAGAAGTTTCCATGTTTAACACAAAAATGGAACTTCTACCAAGGCTTCCTTCCAGAGGAAGTGCTGTCATACACAGCACGGGGGTACTCAGTTCTGTTGCGAGGGGCTCTGAACAGTGATGAAGCAAACCTGTATCTTCAGCCAGGTTGGGCCAGGCCTTTACCTTATTGGCTTCCGCTATTTTTAGAGCAGTGTAGCACTCAGCATCAGCCTTTGCCTTCTCCCGGGCCAGAAATGCGGCATCTATGGGGGAAGCATGCAGGGAACTGGATGAAGGACAGAACCTGGGGAGGTGCAGAGGCTAGGAGACTGTGCTCTGGTGGCTGGCAGGTACAGCTCAGGTACAGCACTCGTCTAGCATACATAAAGCCCCAGGTTCTATTCCCATAGCACAGAAAACAAAGCCAAACCAACATTTTCTCGTTTCTGTAATTTCTTACTGTTTTTGAGACAGGATCTTGCCCTTAGCTCAGGCTAGCCCTGAACTCACTGTGTAGCTTCCTGCTACCTTAGCACAGGGAAACTAATTCTCTAGGAAAAAGTCATCTAAAACCTTTAAGACAGAGTAACAAGACTTTCAGAAGCTTTACTGGTTAATATAAAAGGGAAGCTTTGACATGGCCTCTTACCAAAGGCCTTGTATTTGCAGTGATCCTCCTGCCTCAACCTCCCCGGTGCTGGGCTACGCTGCCTACCACAGGCCCACACCGAGACTGAATGCCAGAGATGTGAAATTGCCTGGTTCCTTCTCCAATTTCGGTTCCCAAAAGTTTCTAATAGATTAAACTGCACAATTCTAGAATTCCGTGCCTTGGTCCAGACACCACTTGCTTGGATTTAGACCTCCTTAATTCTCTGCTGGCAGTATACCTTCTTGCTCAGCTTCCCATTAGGGTGATGTACAGGGCTTTGACACTGACCCCCTTGCTTTGAGAATGAGGCCAGCTTCATTTGAGTCATGTTTGTATCAAAATGCCAAAGGAGAAGGTAGTGTGTAGGCTCTGATCTGTAGTTGTTCCTGTTTAATGTTTTAAAATTTTTTATTTTTATTTTTTATGTGTATGTGTGTATTGCCTTCGTGTAGGTAAGTACATCTGTGTCATGCAATGCCTGAGGAGGTCAGAAGAGACTGCTGGATCCCCTGGGACTGGATATAGACAGTTGTTAGCTGCCATGTGGGTGCTGGGATTCAAACCTGAGTCTTCTGCAAGAATAGCCAGTGTTCTTAACCTCTGAGCCATCTCTCCAGCCCCCATGTTTCTTAATTTAAAAAATATTTTTATTGTTACAGGGCATGGTGGTACACATTTTAATCCCAGCAGAGGAAGAGGCAGGTGGATCTCTGTAAGACTGAGACCAGCCTGGTCTACATAGGACAGATGGGCTACAAGGAGAACCTAATCTCAAAAGAAAAACAAAAACCCAACACCTTTTTATTGTCGCATTTATTTATTATTTATTTATGGTGGGGGCACAGCATGCCATGATCTATGTGTGAGGATCTCTGGGGAGTCAGTCAGTTTTCTCCTTCAGTCAACTGGGTCCTGGGAATCAAACCCGGGCTTGGCAGCAGTGCCTTCACCTGCTGAGTGATCTCACTGGTCTGCTGCTGCTCTTAAGACACAGGCTCTCTATTAACCCAGGCTGGCTTAGAACTCAAAATCCTCCTGTCTCCACCCTTCTAAAGGAGTGGGATTGCAGGCATGTGCCTCCACACCAGGAAACTTAAATCCCGCATCTTTTCAGTGCTGGCTGTTTGAAACCAAGTCCTTGTGCATACTAGCAAGTGCTTTAGATCCTGCGCTACATTTGGGGTATTTTGCTACACACCCTAGTATCATCCCCCTTTTTTCCACAGGTTTATTTTATGTATATGAATGTTTTGCCTGCATGTATATATGCGTACATGTGTGTCTGGTGCCCACAGAAGACATAAGAAAGTACCAGTTGGATCCTCTGGAATTGGAGTTACAGACTATTGTGAACCACCATGTGGGTACTGGAAACTGAACCTAGATCTCTGCAAGAGCACCAAGTACTCTTAACAGCTGAGCATCTCTTTAGCCCTGTGATCTCTTTTTTAAAAGGTTTTATTTTTAATTATGTGTATGACAGTATGTGCATGTGAATGCAGGTGCCTACAGGCCAGAAGACAACGTCAGATCCTCCTGGAGCTGGAGTTCCACGTGGCTGTGAACTGCACAACACAGGTGCTGGGATTAAAGGCGTGCATTACCATACCGGAACTAAAGAAAATTCTTTAGCTTCAGAGTTGTTGCTGAAAAAGTGTTTTCTTCAGAACTAGAGAGGCTGGGGAGACGGCTCAGTGGTTAAGAGCACTGGCTGCTCTTGTAGAGGACCAGGGCTCCCTTCCCAGCACCCACATGGCAGCTAACAACTGTCTGAAACCCCAGTTCCAGGAAACTGACAGCATCTTCTGGTCTCTGTGGACACTGCACACATGGTACACCTGCATAAATGCAGGCAAAACACTCAATCTCAAAAGATAAATAAAAAACTGAATTTAATATCTGGACCTTGACAGCAGACTTTGAGACTAAAATACCGTTTCCAAATAACCCCCACCCTGTGCCTCTGAGATGGGGTCTTGCTTTGAGATGACCAGTGACCATCATGCCTGGCTCCAGAGGACTTTTGAGGTGGTGGTTTGGGCAAATGGGGGAAGAGCTGCTGCTTAGGTTGAGCACCTGAGTGAACTCCCCATGTTTAGAGATACTGGCTAGCCTGAGTTCCAAGCCAACAGGCACTGTCATGTCCCTCTCCTTCCCTTACCCCCTTCCCCCTTTTGAGGCTGTATCTCACTATGTAGCCCAGGCTGCCTTCTAACTTGCTACCCTACTGCCTTAACCCCAAGTGCTGGGACTACAGGAATGCGCTGCCATGCCTGGCTTCAGTTCCTCATTCTAAAAAATCACATTTCTTTATTTGTGTGTGTGTGTGTGTGTGTGCAAGTGCACTGCGGTGTGTGTGTGTGTGTATGTGCAAGTGCACTGTGTGTGTGTGTGTGTGGGTTAGAGGACAACTTTCAGATTTGGTTTTCTCATTCTACCATGTGGCTCCTAGGGGTTGAACTCAGGTCATTAGGCTTGGTAACAACTGCCTTAACTCACTGAGCATTTTGCTACTCCTTGATGTCCCTCTTCCAGGTCTTAACGAAAAGCTGAGTACACAGCGGCACACAAGCAATGCTTGCTGAGTGAATGAATGCTCTCTAAGTAGAATGCTACAATATGCTTAAGATGCCAGCCAGGCTAAAGCTCTAAACCCGAACCTCGGCACAGAGAACTGGTATTCCAGACACGTAAAATCCTAGAACCAGACCAAGGAGCAAAGGAACGACCCTCTCCCCGCCCCGTGCCTGCAGACACCAAGGTCACTTCTACTTACCTTCAATTTCTGAAATCTTCTTCTCAGTCTCCTTCTCCATTACCTTCTGTCCATAGGTGATTTCTGCAACTTGAGCCACTTTTTCTGCCTCTGAATAAATGAAATTGAGAAAAGAATTAGTGATGACACCTCAAAAGATTGACTGAGGCTGGTGAGGTGGCTCAGCAGGTAAAGGTGCCTGCTGCCAAACCTGACAATCTGAGTTCGATCTCCAGGACCCACATGGTGGAAGGAGAGAACCGATACCCACTCAAGTTGTCCTCTGACCTCCACATGTGCTCCATGGCATGTACATGCCCATACAAACACACAAATAATGTAAAAGAAAGGTTCGACTGACCGTACCTTTCCTGATATGAGTGTCCTAATGCCTGAGTGGGGATGCTCAGATAGCCATGTCCCCAGAGAGAGCTGCAGTGGGTGCACCTGAGCAGAGACGAGTGTCCCAGCAGCACAGCAGCACACCATCAGCATGAACAGTCACTCAGACTCCTGACCCCAGGGAGAAAAGCCTGCTTCTTCGGAGGGTGAGAGACACCCCAGCTTCTCTCCTGTCAGTCTTTTAAAGAGTAAGGTCTTGCCTGGCACTTCACTTTAGGACGTGTTCTAGTTGGCTGTTGATAGCACAGTTGTGATGATCACCCAGAGACTCTGGACCGGAGCCCAGCGCCTCCTCTTGCCACATAACCCTGGACATGCTCGCAAACCTCTGCGTTCAATAAAACAAAGCAAGTGCTCCAAGATGGCTCAGCGGGTAAAAGCACTGCCATGCAAGCCTGACAACGTGGGTTCAATCCCCTGGGTCTCACAGTAGAAGGAGAACTGCTTTCCAGTTGTCTTCTGACCTCCATAAGCTCATCATGGCATGTGTGTGCCCACATCTGCATGCACATATCACACACACACAAATAATAATAATAAAATCCAAAAAAATAAAAAAAAAAAAACAAAATCCAGGGCAAATGATAGCATTTTCCTCTGGTGGCGACGGGACACCTGAGTTACTTCACACATGAAGTGCAGGCAGTGCTGGTCATTCCTCTTAGGAATGAAGAGGAAGGATGCTGGGGGTGGTGGTGCACACCTTTAATCCCAGCACTCGGGAGGCAGAGGCAGGCAGATCTCTGTGAGTCCAAGGCCAGCCTGGTTTACTTAAGTGATTTCCAGGACAGCTGGGGCTACGAGGAGACCCTGTCTCAAAAAAAATTAAATTAAAAATTAAAAAAAAGAATGAGGAGGAAGGGCGTTTCCATTTAAGAGTCACTCCCTGTGTCCATGATCTGACTGTTTCCACTCTGCCTCTGGGGACACAATGCCACCCCATGAGGCAGAAGCACGCTGGAGGACTAAGTGGCCTAACCACGCGCTGGCCTTCCTTCTATCATCACGCCACCCCAGCCCTCGTGCCCTCAAAGGGTCACAGAAGCACATGCAGACCAATGAGGGCCTTCTTCCTCTCTGTTTCCGCCTCCTTCTCCACCACCTTCTGTTTCTGGGCTGCAATGAGAAGCTTCGTCTTCTCGCTTTCCCTAAGGGGAAAGTACACAGCTGTGAGGCCATGATGGAGATCAGAGGAGCTTCACTGCTTCCTACAGAAGTCCAGCTCTTTGGCTGAGGAGCAGCACACTAGGATTTCCTGCTGTCCCCTGCAAGGCTATTCAGTGACCCAGCCTTTACTAATCTGCTGCAGACAATGTGGCTTTCTTTTGTGAGAAATAAAATAATGCTTGGCTGCTTATAGTCCCAGTTATGCAGGAAGCTGAGGCAGGAGTCTGAGGCACCCTGGACACATAACAAGACAAAACAAAATATTACAGCAACATAATGCGCTGTTACAATAGACCTGCCAGCATGCTCACTGGGCTTTTGCCGCTATGTGAGTCTCTGGCCTTTAAAAAGCATCACTGCTCTCTAGGGCTCCTCTGTGACCCCCAGAGTGCTAGAATACCTGCCCTATCTTACAGTGCAACAGGCCAACAAATGTTCAAGAAAGGGAAAAATCACAAAAGTTGGCTGAACTTTGGCTAGCTCTGGGATGTGACGAGGGGTGAGAACGTGGTGGTTAGCTTAGGCATTAAGGCACACTCACATCAACTCGTAGTTTCTGCGGATTGCCTCAGGGATGTTGGGCTTTGTCACTCGTACAGCCTAGAGAAGGACACAAATAGCAACTGATAGGAAAATGAAGTTGGTCAGGAACTTAAGCTCCCATGGGTCCTGGATGTTCTCATGCTAAAAAGGGCAGGCATCCTTGGGACAGAGCACGCAGGGTCAGACACTCTCTCCTGAGGCAGTGCTTACTTGGATAACAAGTCCAGGGGCCATGGAGGTCAGATCCTGTTGCAAAGCCAGTTTGAGGTTTTCATCAATTTGATCTAGAATCAAGAAAGACACAAAAGGGAGCTATTATACTTTCTCAATGGGGAAGAAAGGTTGGGGTTTGGTAAAGTATAAGCAAAAACACCAGCTCACTGAATAGGTGAAATCTCTTTCCAAATTAGTGTACTTAGCAAGTACAGAAACATAAAGTAAGATTTTGGGGGCAGCCCTCCATGTGTGTGAAATTTAAGAGTATCGTTTTGCTTTCTCCTTAAGATAAAATCCCCTTTATCGCTGAAGACATCAACTATGACTTCCAGGGGACCCGAACTTGAAAAAAAGGGACATCTCTAACACATTCCTTGGATCAGGAAGCAGCCTTTTCCTGCTAACATCAAAAGAGAAGGCAGACCAGGCATGGTGGTGGCACTTTTAATTCTAGCACTCAGGAAACAGAGACAGGCAGACTGCTGTGAGTTCTAGGCCAGCTTGGTCTATCTAGCGAGTTCTAAGCACGCACGCCAGAGCTACACGCACTCCAGAGACCCTGTCTCAAAAAAAAGGAAAAACAAAACAAAACAAAACAAAACAAACAGGTACAGATGCTCTATGGCTATGTCAGGCTTTTGGAAGAGAAGCGAGTGAAGCCAGGCAGGGTAGCACAGGCCTGTAACTCCAGCATCTGGGACAAGGCCAGCCTCCGATTCACAGTAAGAGCCTACCTGAAAAACAAAAATCTGGGTAGACTAAATCTTCTAATTTTATCAGTTTAAAAACAAAACAAAACAAGGGGCTGGAAAGACAGGTCTGCAATTAAGAGCACTTGCTTTTCCAGATGACTAGTTTGGTTCCCAGCACCCATATAAGGTAACTCACAACCACCTATAACTCCAGCTACAGGGGATCCAATGCCCCCTTCTAGACTCTGTGGGCACCCACACCCATGTGGCATTCACTTACATGAACCTTAAAAAAGAACAGGAGGGTTGAAGAGACCATTGAGTGGTCCAGAGCACCCGCTGCTCTTGGAGCTGGGTCCGGTTCCCAGCATTCATACCAAGTGGCTCACAATAGACCGAACTCCAGTTCCAGGGAATCCAATACCCTTTTCTGGCCTCCATCGGCACTGTATGCACATGGTGCACATACAGACAAGCAGGCATAGACATATTACACACACAAAAAAGCATAAAACCCAGACTGATGTCAAGGAGAGCCCACATTGTTTTTATTAGGAATGTTGACAAACACTACAAGGGGAAAATTAAAATTTATAGTTCTGAAAAATCAGCCTTTATCTTAAAAAAAAAAAAAAAAGTGTGTACGGAGGCCAGAGGACAACCCTGGGTGCTGTCCTCAAGAACAGCATATACTGCCCTTGAGAACGGGTCTCCCACTGTCCTGGAGTTCACCGAGGCTAGCCCAGCTGGCCAGGAAGCCCCAGGGAGCCTCTGCCTGCCACCCCCTGCCAAGTCTTGGGTTCTGTAGAACTCAGGTCCTCTACTTCTGAAGGAAGCACTTTACTCAGTGAGCTATCTCCCCAGCCTAGTGAATGTCTCTGGTCTTGATCCCCTGCCTAGAATTTCCATGGGAATTGTTTCATAGGCAAGTTAGAGGAAGGCTATCACTGACCATTGTGGGGACAGTAGTGCCAAAGCCGTACCTCGGCTGGCCTTCTCTTTCCTGCATTCTACAGTGACATCTCACTGAGGTCCTGGAAACCTAGAGGAAAAGACACAGTGGAACCAGGCTGGGATATCTGAAGATCCCTTACTGTCAGCTGCCACCTGCTGTGGTCAGCTGGACGCAAGCAGTATCTTCTGATGAACAGCAAGTCCTCTTTTATAGATGCCCAAACTGAGGCCTTTGGAAGCTAGCTAGCAACCAAATGTGGACCTTTTGGTTCAGGGGGTGGCACAGTGGTAGAATACTTGCCTGGCAAACTTAAGCCCTGGGTTCCATCTCTAGCAACACACACACAAAACAACAAAACAAAACAAAACAAAACAAAAAACCAGTCCTTAATTAATTAGTGCTTTGAGTGTTATGACTTAAAAACTACATACTCCCCTATCCTATCAGTAGGCAAGGAACTGTGATGTTTCTACATGTGGACATGTTCTTACACGCCTGAGTACGGGGGGAAGAAGGCATAAAATGAGCTGGCTCCCATCTGATATGGGCCCAAGATCTCACCATGTAGCCCAAGTTGTCCTGAACTTGTGATCCTCTTGCCTCTATCTCCTAAGTATGGGGATAGCAAGTGTATATCACCACACCCAGTTTATATTTTCTTTCTGTATTTTGCATTTTAAATTGAATGTCATTAAAACTATTTTTTTAAGTGCTAGGTGAACCCAGGGTCTCTTTATTAAACTCTTGACCACTGGGCTACATTCTGAGTTCTTAAATTTTTTTTTGTCTTTTTGATACAGGGTCTCCCTGTAGGTCCAGGTGCTTAGAACTCACTCTGTAGACCAGGCTGGCCTCAGACTCAAAGGATCTGCCTGCCTCTGCCTCCCGAATGCTGGGATTAAAGGCCACCATGCCCAGCTACTGGTACTTAAAGTTTAAGATAGCCTGTAACCTTCATACATTAGTAAGTCATTTATCAAACCAAAGTATATCTGAGTCAAAGTAGAAACCTGAGGCTTTGGGTTAATAACTTACTGGGGAAATAGAGAGATTTCTAGAGGTGTTTCAGTAACAGCGCTAATGAGGTGCTTATGTTAAGGCAATGCTGATAGATGCCATTACGTTCTATTACTCAGTAAATATAAGAGGGTCTGCAGTAAAACTTCTGAGCAAGTGCTAAAAATATCTTTATATAATGGACCAATAGATAATAGATTCAGCAGACAAGAAGTGATGAAAATTACACAGTTTTGGTTAAAGTTGCAGCTGTCAGTCCTAAGAAGGAACTAAGGAGCCTTTTGAGTTCAAGGAATGTGACTAACAGGAGTTTCTCCTTTACAGATGTACACAGGTCCTAGGAAGCAGTGCCTGCCCCTAAGACTGAAATTTAGAAAGAAAAAAAGGAGCTTTTTTTTCTACTTAAGACAGGGTCTTGCTGGCCTTGAACTCACTCTGTAGCCCAGGCTAGCCTCAAACTTAGGATCCTCCTGCCTTAGCCTCTTGAATGTTGGGATTAGAGGCATGCACCACCACACTCAGGGTTAAGAGAAAAAAAAATTACCTGTTTTTTTTTTTTTTTGTACTATGGATTGAAACCAGGGCCTTGGACATACCAGGTAAGTGTTCTACCACTAAGCTATATTCCTAACCCATGGAAGAAAAGTTTGAAGGAAAACACAATTTCCAAGCTCCTATGTACCAAAATAGTTCCATAATAAGTGTATCTGTTAGGACAGCAAGGAGTTTTCAAATGCAAAATAATCTAGTGTTTTAACTTTCTTCTCAGGGACATTAGATTCATCATCTTTGTGGTTTCAAATGCTTTGACAAGTTCATTTACTAGTATAAGCCCTAAAACAATGGCTATAACATTGGTATTTCATAAAATTCTCTAAGCTTGACACAAAATAATCTATAGCAAATTTACCATTTCTTTTTAAAAAATATTATTTTCATTTTATGTGTAAGAATGTATTGCCTGCATCTAAGTGCACCCGTGTCATGCAGTGCCCACTGAGGTCAGAAGGCGGCATTAGATTCCCCTGGAACTGGAGTTATGAATTGTGAGGTGCCATGTGGGTGCTGGGAATCAAACCCAGGTCCTCTGCAAGAGCAGCCAGTGCTCTTAAACACTGAGCCATCTCTCCAGCCCCAAATTTACCATTTCTTTCTTGAAGGTATAATGAATCCAAAACCAGCAAAAGAATACAACCTCTTTAAAAGTGAATTTAGGTTCATTCTCTACAGCAGAAAAACTGCAAGTGATTTGGGTGATTTTCCAAATTTTAAACACTGTAAAAGGCTACCTGTTAATTGTGATTACAGTCAATTTTGATATTTTCCTTCTGTATAAAATGTATTCTTGGAGATGGATGTGGTGTCTCACGCCTTTAATCCCAGCACTCGGGAAGCAGAGGCAGGTGGATCTCAGTGAGTTCAAGGCCAGCCTGGTCTACAGAGAGAGTTCCAGGTCAGCTGAGGCTACAGGGAGACCTTGTCTCAAAAACAAAAACGAAAAAAAGAAAAAGGATTCTCTTGGGCTGGGGATGTAGACTTGCCTAGCACATAGGAGAGATATGGCTTCCATTCTCAGCACTGACAAAAACAAAAACAAAAGCTCAGGGTCCCCTTTATGAGGATTCCTGAGAAAAGTCCTTGTTTAGTCCAGGTATCAAAAGTTCACTTACTTTCTAGAAGTAGATTTAAGCAGAGCACCATGAGGGAGCCATGACAATTACTGACACAATTCTTTAGGTGCTGAAATCAATGCTGTTTCCTTTGGTCAGGTAAAAAGAAAGAGGTGCTCACTTAAATATGTGGGTCCTTCTGCTCAAAGTGTTTCCTACTCATGTCTACAGGGGCAGGGTTAGGGGACCCCACAAAGGTTCTAAGATCTGCAGGAGGCTTCGCTTCTCACCTCACTTCCAGAATCAAACAGGAGCCAGTCATTCCCATCGCACTTCCCTGAGTGCCCTTCTCTCAGTGTAGTGGAAGGATCCTAAAGCGACAGCAGTGGGGAGGTTCTGGCTGCATGCAGCTTTGCTAACAACTAGCAAAGAGCCCTGGCCTTCATGCCCTGGGCCTCAGTATTTTAAATGAAGATGTTGGGATGGATGGCCTTCTAAGAGTCCTCTAATTATAGAGCAATAGTTCAGGGACAGTGAGAACATGGTTTGGCTCCAGTCCTCTGATTCAGGCCAGAAGTGACTACTTCATTCTCTTCCTGCTTCTATGCCTGATGTTTTATCACTCCAGGGATCTTCTTCCACTGTTTCCAACATTTTATTTTATTCTTTTCTTTTGGAGAGGGGCCATTCATTTAACAAACTTTTGTCCTGTAGCTCAGGTTGACCCTGACGTGGCCTTCTTCCTCCTGCACCAGCATGTCTGGCTTTCCTTAACATTTTCATTTTTTTTGTATTTAAAAAATATTTTATTATTTTTATTTTATGAGTATGAGTGTATTGCCTTCATGTGTATAACTGCACCCATGTCATGCAAGGCCCATGGAAGTCAGAAGAGGGTTTCTGATCCCCTGGATCTGGAGTTACGGATGGTTGTTAGCTACTGTAAGAGCAGCCTGTGCTCTTAACCGCTGAGTCATCTCTCCAGCTGCTGTCCTTAACATTTTCTAGGAACTCTTTTTGGTGACTCAAACCCATGAACTCCCCATTGTGTGGTAGGTAGCTCAGAAGTAGGCAGATGTTGCTGAAGCCTGACACGCCTGGGGGAGGGGGTAGGTTGGCACTGACAATGACCACATATTCTTACCAAACAGTTCAATGTAGACCTCCTGAAGCGTGTGCACACTGCAAAACTGGTTCAGTTCATGGTGGATCTTGTTGAAGATGAGGGCCTTGTCGTAGTCTGCAGTGTAGTTCTTCACAATATCATACACTGGGGGAAGGACAGGGCTTAGCACCAGAAAAAGCCAAGGCTCCAAATTTCCCAGGCTTTCTCAGATAGAGCAGTTTCCAAGACCTGTTGTGCTCAGACAGATGCCCGTTTGCAAGCTGGAAGACGTACCTGCATTTGGGACTAGGAAGTTTACCACTTCAATTCTGTCAAAGTAGATCATCACGCCACCACTATTGGAAGAAGGGACAAAGCAATCACTAGTAAGCTCTGGAATATGGTAAAATCTAAGGAAATGGCCTAAGACAAGTGACCAGAAGAAAAGAAGTACAGGTGTCTATAGAGCATAAGATGCGTGAGACCTCCTCGCAGGAGACCTGCAGAGCTCAGGGTAACAACCACCATAAGGAAAGAGCAGACCTTTGGAGTGTCAGGAGGAAAGTGTAGTTCACGTCTTTTCAATCATCAGTGTCTTTTGATTGAAGCAAATTATTACAGGAAAAAAGACTAAAGAGGACAAAGGTTTTCAAAATGCAGAGTCACTGGAGTTTGTCTCACATCCTGGCTTCGCCATCACTTCAGTAGTACCTTTCCCATACTTAGTCGTTACACCAAACTTCCCACATGGCCATGGCATGCCAGCCACTCCCAAACCATCTAGGATCTTCTCTAGGGGATTCTACTGCCTGGTCAAGTCAGAATATAGGGAGATAAAGGCAGTGGCACTGTCAAAACCATCAACATTGCCTCTCACTGCAGCTGCCAGTCAGCCAGCCCTCCCTCTCACTTGCTGGCGCTTACCAGTTCTATTCTGGGTACCTTACCTGGTCCCACATGGTACATTCTTCACCTCATCTGTTTGAAGTGTGGTCTGGAAATGGGAAATATCAAATGAAGCAAGATAGGTAGTGACAAACAAAAGAACTTACTATTTGGAACCCTAAAGCCCTTGTCTTTGTGATTGGTACTTGTTTGGACTGAGCGTCACCTAATCCTCCTCCCTTACAGACCAGGATTCTAAACCAGACAAAAGTACCTACTCCAGTTTTGCTGCAGATGAAGCACATATGAATAGGCAGGATAATGACAAAGACGCTGGGCTCAGAGCCTCCAGACTTGTCTTAGTCACACCTCTTCCACTTACTAGTGCCGAAGCAGCAGGGTCCTTTTTGAGCCCGTTTCAGGGTGTAGTGCCTGCTCAGCCCATACTCAGGGCCACTGTGAGACTCAAATAGGACCAAGCAAGTACCCAAACATACTTTGAAAGCCATAAGGCATGGCTAAGGGCAGAAAAACTCACAGGGGAAAGTAGACATTTTGCTGGATCAGTTTTCATTTTCTATTTTTCCCTCCCCTCCCCTCCCCCCTCTCCCCCGACTCCCTTCCTTCTTGTTGGGACTTGTACTCAGAGCCTTGTGTATGCTAGCCCATAGTTTTACTTTTGAGTGACATCCCAAGTCCCTTACTGGGTCAGTTTAAAAGTTATTCTTGAGGGGCTGGAGAGATGGCTCAGTGGTTAAGAGCACTGACTGCTCTTGCAGAGGACCCGGGTTCGATTCCCAGCACCCACATGGAGGTTACGATCTGTCCCTAACTCCAGTTCCAAGGGAATCCAAAGCCCTTTTCTGACCTCCATGGCATTGCACAACACGGGTGCACTCACTTACATGCAGGCAATACACTCATACACATAAAATAAAAAAAGATATTTGAAAAAAAAAGTTATTCTTGAAATGTGGGTTCTTGGTTGGATGTACTTCAGAGATACCTAGTCTGCTTCAGTCAGGTGGAGGTCTGTTACCACTGATCTCACTCCTGTCTTCAATGATACTGGCCCTTACCTAATCAACTTTCTTCCTCTCAAAATTATGTTCACATTTCTGAGAAAAATTCCATGTTTTACTTCTACCTGTCATGGTGTCCTGTGATTTAAAATACAGACACCTATACTTGACTTTTCTACACATTTGTAAACAGATCCTTCTTTGGCTCCACCTCAAAAGTGAAGAAATAATTTCCACATGAGGATGATGGGCCAGGACAAAGCAATGACTCTAGTCACTATCTCAATGATCAAGTAATGCTGTGAGAGCCTCACTGTGTGCACATGCATGTGTGTGAAATACCCTTAAGTGAGTCTATGAAAAGGCATTTTCCTCATCTAACAACTATGTAATTTCAAATTGTGTATTAGTCAACAACCCAAATTTGTAGTCATCCCACCACAGCACACAAGCCAAGTATACCTGTACAGACTTATAGGACGTGATGAACGGGAGCATGAGGTGGAAGCCAGGGCCGCTGGTGGAGGTCAGCAGGGCACCGCCTCTGCAGGAGAGGGAGGGGTAAGGTCAGCACAGCAAGAGCGATCCCTTAGACCAAGACTGGCTAACCACAGCTTCACACCTATAAATATTAATGGAGAATGGCAATGTCTGCACATCCCTTTCTTCCTTCTGCTTCAATGCTAACAGTCTAGGAAGCCTGATGGCAAAATACAAAGTCATGAGTCATACTTCTGCAATGAGAAAAGTAGGCACACAGACCACCTGAAACAAAGACAAGATCCCTGGCTATGGGCAAAGGATGTTTGCTGCATCTCCTGAGCTTGCAGCCATCATCAGGGGAGTTAAATCTGGCAATGCGGTGAGCAACACACTGGACTGCTGCTGGAGTCCGCTGTCATGGGCAAGTCAAAGAATAATTTGTTTTGGGCAGTGCTGGGGTTGGACTAGAGGCCTCACACACTCTAAGAAAATTCTCAGTCAATGTGAGCTATACCCTGCTCCTTAAACATACTTTAACAGGAGTGATAGCTCTTCATTGGAGGTTAGGACAAAGTAATGTGATAATAGAGACAAGCATGATTTTATTAACAGAGGAAAAGAGATGGGTCACACAGAAGTCTGAGTCCAATGTAGGGTAGAAGTGCAGTCCACCTGCTTCTACTAGACTATATCCCACAGGCATCTGGGGACTCATGTACACTGTTCTTCTATTTCTGTTTTTGAGGCTGGGTCTTGCTACGTAGCCCTGGTTGGCCTAGTACTCATCATGTAGTCCAGGCTGGCCTGAAACTTATGGTCTTCCTGCCTCAGCCCTTCCCCAAATGATGGCATCACAGGCATGAGCTCAACAATAATTTTACTTTCTTTTTTTTAATTGAATTTTTGTGTATTTCATACAGAAAATCATCTTTATACCCCCTTCCCCTTCAGCACCCTCCCACAGCCCCCCCCCCCTCCCGCTGGAGTTCATACATTCTGTCATTTGTGTTAAGGCCTATTATGTAAAGTTAGTGTCCCCAGGTATCCCTCAGTGCAAGTTCATCCACCTGGGTTTAGTCAGCCTGTCTAGAGTCTCTCCCTTGAAGAAGATCAGCTCTCTCTCACCCAGCAGGATTCACCTGCCAATAATTCTTCAACTACAGTTGGGACTTACTGTTAATTTCCACAGTTCTGTGCTGGGTTTTTGCCTGCCTAAGTTTGCATGGGTCTTGTGCATGCTGACACCATTGCTGTAGGTTTGTATGAGAAGGGTCCCAAGCATTAGATACTTTCTAAGTCACTTTGACACACATTAAATAACCCGGGAATGGTGATGCACATCTTTAATCCAAGTACTGGAGAGGCAGAGGCAGAGGCAGGGGGATCTCTGTGAGTTCAAGGCCAGCCTGGTCTACATAGTGAGTTCCAGGCCAGTTGGGGCTATAGGGAGACCCTCTTGAGACATATAGTTCTAATCTTGTTGTATGTAACTGACAAAATTAAAATTACATGGGGACCATGTAAACAGATGGTGGAGAAAAATGATTGAAAAAGAAGCAACTAAAGATTTTTAACTTTTTTGGTGCTGGAGACGAACCTGGGTCTTGAGTATTAAGCTCTGACTCGTCCATTGAACCAGAACTCTAGCCTCAATGACTATTTTAGAACTTGCCTTCAGCAATCCATAAATAGGCATTATAGGACCCACATGAAAAGAGGAGGTCATAAAGGCTTAAAGCAAGGGCTGGGGTGTAGTTCAGTAGTAGAGCTATTGTCCAGCAAGCATGAAGTTCTAAGTTTGAACCCCAGCACTGCAAAACAAATAATTAATCCCCCTCCCCTGAAAACCCCTAAAACCTCCTGGTCATAGAAGCCACTGAGAAGAAAGCTACCCAGGATGATTTTAAGAGCTACTCTCCTAAAGCTCGCCTTGATTCACATCATCCTGTCCTTCAATTTCCCTGAAGTGTTCACTTTAGAACAGTCTTTCAAATGTGCTAAGTAGACTTCTCAAGTTGCCATCAAGAACTGAGACCCTGTCTACTTTGTAGAGGTACCCTGACAGTGTGGAGACACATCTCCCCCAACAGATGCAGAGAAAAACTATAGTTCAGGGATGATCTGCAAAGATTACTGGTTCCTTCAGGTTTTTGTCTTTAAACCTACAAACACATTTATCAGCACCATCAACAGCATCATCTTAAAATCCTAAGAACAGTTTTACATTTATATTCACACACAAGCATGTTCCCTTATCCATGATCAGTGACATAGACGTTCCATCTGAAAACGACTCCCCTATTTAATGATATAGTCACATCTCCTAGACAGTGAGAAGGAGCCATTTAACTTCACATTCCCACCTACCCCTGCCTTACCTGTAATACACCCCAATATGACCTTCTTCAATCTTGTGCACAGCTGAGAAGAGAGATGCACAGAAGAAACTGGAAGCCACGGCCACAATTGCTCCCAACTGAGCCATCAGCGGACCTGTGTCCTAGGGAGAAGACAAGGGACAACGTGTGGCCTGACATTCAGGACAGAGGCTATCCACCGCGTGTCTCCCCAAGCCGTAGCTCCCTGAAAGTAACTCGCAGCCTGCTATAGAACACAAGGCTGGCTGGATCTACAACTCATTTCATCCTCGCTCTCAGTCAACATTTCCACTCGTTCACTGTGGGAGTATAATTCCCACTGCAACGAAGAGGCAAGAGCTCCAGACACTGCTCGTACTTAAGGGAGATGGAGTTGTCAACCGGACAGGTTCCGGACACAGCCTTTTCTTCTCACGAATGTGTGTGGCTACCGGAGCCACTTACACCAGCAAAGGGAGGTGAGATAGCTGCAGTGTGTTGGCCCAAATGACTGAGGCTGTCAAATGACAGCTGTGGCTGTGTAGTTGTGCTCGGAGCCTCCCACTGCTAATCGCCTGCCATTTCAAAGGAAACCATCATTTACTCCTTTTGGACGCCAGGGAGACAGAGAGACCAAGCAGCTGAGATCGAAGGGAAGGTTCTGTGGCCTTGTCATCCACCTTCCCGGTTATTCTTTCGGATCTAAACGGTGCAGATCTCTAAACAAAACTGAAGCCCCCAAGCTCCGTGGCTACAGGAAGCTGGGAGACTCCGGCTGGGGACTCGAGACTCCCGGGTCGGACAACATTCAGAGACTCGGATGCCAGAGTTGGCATCTGCAAACTCATTTCCTGAACGCGGAACGATCTGGAAAAACTAAGGTGGCGGACCGCCAAGTGGAGTCGGGAGCGCCGGGGCGCGAATCCCGCCCGGCCCCGCTTACTTGCCCGCGGCGGCCTCCGGCTCCCGAGCCGCGGGGCTGAACCCGCCCGGCCTCCCCACCCCACCTCGCGCCCCTTCCCCGCCCTCCTCCGCGAGCCCGCAGCGTCCGCAGAGCTTCCGAGTCGGCCGGCTCGGGGACCCGCGGGTAGGTCCTCCCCGGCTGCGGCGTGTGTGAGCTGAGGACAGCGGCCGCCGCAGCCCGAGCTCGGCGGATCAGCCGCAGCCGGAGCCGCAGCCTGGCCGAGTGCGCACAGCCGGGCTGGGGCCGCATACCAGGCTGTCCCTCCGGGCGCTCCGTACAAGTCCGAACTCCCAAGCAACCGCAGAAACCGCCACACCCCTCAGCACGCTACTTCCTTCCGGGCCTGTCGCTCCGATGACGCCATCAGTGGACGCGAAGAGGCCCCGCCCTTTGCCGCGCACTCCTCCGCCCGCCCCGCCCCTCGCCGTAGCGATCTCTGGGGCAGCCGGGGGCGCTCGCGCGACGTCCCGGAGCCGCTGGAGCAGGCTGGAGGGGCCCGGCGAGGATGCTGTGGGCCGCTGCCTCATCCCTGGGCCTGGGCGCGCGTTACCGCGGTGCCGGCTTCACCTTCTGAGCCCGTTTGACTGCAGGTTGCTCCGGATTGCGCTTCACTTCAAGGTCCGGCCTTGACCCCTTGTCCTCGCGAGCCCGCGCCTCTCGCTCTGCTCGCCGCTTTCCAGAAGCACAGCAGAAGGAAAAAAAATCCTGGAGACGTGCGGATTAGCACCATGACGATGATAGTCAACAATCCCTCTCTGAATTGCTCTTTATGCTTTTCTGAGAGTTTTGTTTGGTCTTGAGGTCCCCACAGCAACATAAAGTAATTAACAAGGAATTATTGTCCCCATTTTAGTGACTGGAATCTGAGTTCTGTGAAAACTTCCTTTGCGTTTCTTTAAAAGTTCGGGCTTCCTCGGTTAACACCTGCCTTGGAGGTGGTGGGGGCGGGGCTTGTGTCAGCCGGGGCCTAGGTGCTAGGGAATAGGGACAGCAGGCTTAGTGGGACAAGGAAGAGGAGCAGATTGTGTGCCTCCTAGCCTTGCGTCGTCTTCTCTGTGCGGCATCGTGGCATTGGGGCATTCCTATTGCGCCCTTTTTGTCCAGGGAATTGAACCCAGGGTTTTGTGTATGCTAAGCACGCGTGCATTCTATCCTTGAACTGCTTCCGTGGGAGGGTGTTAATAAACCGGTCACTGAGGTCGTTTTGTGTGCAGCCCAGAAAGTTAGAGTTCATTTGATCACAGCTTTTGGCAAAGGAGAAAACTTTTATTTATCGAAGATGGCCAGGTGGCAATGTTTGACGTATTTAGGACTCAGGAAAAGGAAAGGGTAGTTTTCTAGCCATGGCTGCTTGTGGTAGGCCAATTTCCCCTCCCTGGGGAACCCTGGGGTTCCCTGGATGAGTTTATGTTGAGATGTGCCATCATTACATGGTTAAGTTCATAAATTAGCTACATGGTGCTGTCCCGGATCCTGTGCTCACGCCTAGGAGTGCTTCTCCTCAGTCACTGCACCTCACATTCCCACCACACAGACACAGGTGGTCAGTGCCTTGATTGACCCTGTCAGAACTTTAGATCCTTCTCTCCCCAAGTGTAGATTTGCTTAATGTTTTTGGTTGAGTGGGGGGCAAGGCAAGAGGACTCAAAATCTACGCCAACCTGTGGTATATAGAAAGACCCTGTCTAATATATATATATATATGAATTTGGGAGGCAGAAGCAGGCAGATCTCGGTGAGACCAAGACTAGCCTGGTCTACATAGCAGGTTCCAGTCTAGCTGGGGCTACGAGGAGACTCGGTCACAAAAAAAAGACAAAAAAGACAAAGAAAAACCCCAAACCCCACACAACTTATAAATGAATGAATGTATATGAGCAAGTGTATATATTGAGGCCTGTCACACTAATGAATGGGGCTCAGTTTTCAGCATAAAGATTAATTATGGTTGGAGAACTTCTTATTAAACTTTGGAGTGAACTGTCAGCAGGAGCAGTGGATGCAAGCAAGGCTCCAACAGCTCTGGAAAGTCCCTTCTTAGGAGACCCCCTACTCAGTATCCAAAGTTACCAGTCAGGGAAGTCCGATGACTTCTTTAACCAAAGTGCTTAAAATGCGTTCTCTAAAAGCCACATTATAGAGTAGCAGCTCAGTCACCCAACAGTCGTGTAGCCCGGGTTTGAATCATGCCTTCCACCTCTTCCACTTCCTCCCTGTCTCAGCCATCTATAAGATGGAGATGATAACAGCATGAACCATTTACTATTGTGAGGATTAATAACATATCAAGAAAAACATACAACATTTGGTACTATTTGAAAGTCTTCACAAGGTACTGACTTTTAAGTTCCAAACCTCATTGGTGTGTTCTTGCAAATTTGTGGGTTCAGGCTGTGACTGAATGAGAGGAGGGGATAAGCCTGAAGCCATGAGGCACTGAGTAATAAGCAAATGAAATCCCCGGAGCTGGTGAGATGATTCAGCAGGTACGGGTGCTTGCCACCAAGCCTGGCGACCCGAGTTCAGGCCCTGGAACCCACATGGTGAATGAAGAAACCGGCTCCCACAAGTTGTCTTCTGACCTCCACATGCACCATGGCATATACCTGTACACAGACATACAATTTTTTAAATTGTTTAAGAACAATTTTTAAAAGTGTTTTCAGATGAAGAGATAACAATAGATATCTACTATCCAGATGACACAAAGCATTTTTGAGTAGTTTCTTTACAAATTTTTTTTTTAATTTATGTGTGTCTCTGTGTGAGTGTATGCCAACATGTGCGCAGGAGCCCACAGAGGCCAGAAGAGAGTGTCGAATCCCCTGGAGCTGGAGTTATAGGGAGTTGTGAGATGCCTGACATGGATGCTGCGAACTGAACTCAGGTTCTCTGAAAAAGCAGCAAGTGCTCTTAACCACTGAGCCATATCTCCAACCATGTTTTTGAGTGTTTTCTATGTATAAGGCCTGATGACTTAGGCTTTCTTATTTTATATAAAAACATTTTTTTTTAGACAGGGTCTCACTGTGTAGCTCTGGCTGGCCTGAAAATCACTATGTAGGCCAGGCAGGCCTCAATGGAAGTTGAAGCTAGAGAAGTTAAGGGACTCTCTAAGGTCACAAAGCTGGTGAGCTGCAAAAACAGAATTTTATTTAAAGTCTATTTCTTTTATTTTTAATTTTTTAGTTTTTTGAAATTTTATTTTATGTGCATGAGTATTTTACATGCATGTATGTAAGTGTACCACAGTGACAGTCAGAAGAGGGAGTCTGGAACTGGAGTTACAGATGGTTATGAGTTGCCATGTAAGTGATGGGAACCAAACCTGGGTCCTCTACAAGAGCAACCAGTGCTCTTAAACACTGAGCCACCTCTCCAGCCCCTATTTTATTTTAAAATGACTCATGGGCCTTTGGATATGTAAGATCCAAGCAATGACAAATGGGATAAACAGTGCTGTGACCCAGCAATCCACATCTCCTAGCTCTGGGCTGCTGCTGGCTTGGTCTACTTACCAAGCTACATACTAGTGAGAGTGCCACTCCCAAGAGAGAGGAAACCTAGTTCACAATTCTCTCCCTCCCTCCCTC